GTACTGGTTCGCTCCATTAACCGAGGAAAGCACAGGCTGGTTTTCAGTTGCTCACCGCAATCTGTAGTGCACCGTGTCACATACTTTTCTGTCACATCAGATGTGGCATGTTCCTAGGTCTGTCTCTCACCCCACACCACCTTCTTACAGCATCCAGATCTCTCTGCAAACTGGCAGTCTTTGGCAGGCACAGATTACCCAGGTAAGCACACGTTTATTTGTACTTACTTAATAATCTGTGATGAACAGTTTCACGTGGATCTTAAAGATGTGGTGAAAAGCATGTGGGACTGTTGATTAGTAAATAAACACAAGGAAGCCCAGGCTTCCCCGATTACAGGAAATCAGCCCTGGCTAAGCGCAGGGACTGTACATGGGAGATGAAATGCAAGCTGTTTTGTTGGCCGATAGCACACAGCAAGGGCTGTGAGTTTCTGACATTACGGCAGGGTGCTAGCTGGCCACGTGGTGGCAGCCTGGTCTCCTTGCCTTCCATCCTCAGTCAAGAGTTCAGCCACTTGTTGTCATGGACACAGACACACACAGGGTGGGATTTGTCCGGCTGGATAGGAACGCCATTCCAACACTGTGGACTTGTCAGGTAGCCTGGAGGAGGCTCTGACTCACAGGAGTCCTGTGAACAACAGACGACATGGCCCATTGTTACAACCACTATGGCCGTTAGTCACATTGAGAGCTTGTTTTTTTTGTTTGTTTACCCTACACCTTAAGGTGTAGGGAACCCTATGAACCTAGAGAAAGGATGAAAGGCACACAAGTGTTGAGGACTTTCGTTCACAGGGTCGCTTATGAGTTGCCTACGACTTGATGACACTTAACAATAACACCAACATAGAGATCGGTTGGCTGAGTGGACAGAAAAGAATGCTATGAAGCCAGAAGTGAGTGACATCTAATCCGCGGCCCTCCGGCCTTGTTTTTCATTGTTTTTGTTCAAACATTCTTCTAGGTCGTATAGCCCTGGTGTGTCCACTTGCCGTAAAGAGGTAACTTGTGGTCGCTGTGAAGCTGAACGCTGTGACACTGATGTGTCAAATGCTTTTTTAATGATCACCCATGGCGGACAGTGTTTGGTGTGCTCCCTGATTAAAACAAGCTTGGAAGCAGGAGTGGCATCCACTTCCATAATAGCTTGCCTCTGAAAACCCTATGAAACTGGAGAGAGGACGAAAGTCATACAAGTGTTGAGGACTTTTGTTCACAGGGTCGCTATGGGTCGCCTACGACTTGACAGCACTTAACAACAACACACCTTAAGGGAGAGCCGAGCTGCAATCCCAAAGGCACACGGTGTGAATCCAGCTGCTGGCCTGTGGGAGGAGGCTCCTGTGCAATTATCTGCCTCTGAAAACCCGCTGGAGAAGGTCAGCTCTGAGTTCCAACTCGATGGCACACAACACCTTAATAAGGGAGCTCTGGTGGCTCAGTGGTAAGGAGTTGTGTTGCCAACCCAAAGGCACACAGTTCGAATCCACCAGCTGCTCTATGGGGAAAAGACGGGCAGTCTCCTCCCACAGGATTTACAGCCTCTGAAAACTCACTGAAGGATCGATCAGCTACGGGTGGTTCTAACCCCACAGTATATAACAAGACACCTTAACAAACATGGCCTCACACAACATCTTACCCATCCTTCTCGGCCTCTTCCTGACCAAGTGGTAGACATACAAAGGAAACAGAAACCACGAGCCCACATGGTTCACTGTTCTCACCAGGGAAATATCTAGCACCTGGAAGCTGGGGGAATGTAAACATGTGCTCCTGGGTGGTGCAGTTGATATATCCAAATCTAGGAGATTCTGAGTTTACCCACATGTCTTAGAAGAAAGATCTGACAATAAACTCAAACAAGCCAGCCACTGAACGTGCCCTGGGGGGCACCTCTCTGTTCTGACTGGGGTGGACCCGCCATAATGACAATTAATTCAAGGAAGCTGGCCACTGAAAGCACCCTGGGGGACCACTCTGTTGTGTGCCCACCCCCACCCCCCCACCCCATGGGGTTTCAATGAGTTAGAAGTGACTTCACAGAAACTAGTTTGGGTACTTGAGTTCTGTCTTTGAGAAACCAGCAAGTGGAAGAAAACGAAAACTATGGATTTACCACACAGCTCTGCTCTTCTAAGCTTCGACTGACACCTCGTGGAAAGGAAGCTCTTTGCCAACAGTTTCTCATCTTTTCTGCTTGCATCAGCAACAGGAAACAGGAAAGCCCTCACTCAGCAGCCTAGCAGATGGACCTTCAGGCTTGCAGCTGATAGTGCAACTCATGTTAGTTGGTTTTGCAGACACCCAGAGAGGAATCCATGTCAACGCTAGGACCAGACAAAAATACCCAGAGAGTGACGGCAGCATTTCCACACCTTTCTTTTCCATCACGTTGTCTCCATCTCAGTTCTCTGCAGGATAAACCCCTGGCTGTCGTATTTGTCCACCGCTCACTCAGCGGTCAGTTTGCTGTACTGTGGTGGCGTGCATGTTACTGTGATGCTCAAAGTTGTGCCCCTGGTACCTCCACACTAAGACAAAGAAGCAGGACTGGTCATCTACTTCTGAAATGACAGCCTCTGAAAGCCCTATGGACGATGGAAGAGCATTGTTGGGTACAGTGTTAGCAGAAGGGTCTCTCATGCTGGAAGGCTCCCAAAACATGACTGTGCAAAAGCTGCCTCCTCAAAGCAGAGACTACACAGCACACAGAAGAGCGAGCTTCCACCCAGTGAAGGGCCTCCATTCGCGGATGTGGCAAGACTCAAACTGAAAAGAAACAACCACAAACAGCATTAATAACTGGAACACAACATGTATAAAGTGTGAAACTAGGAAAACTAAAGTGTCAAAAATTAAATGGAATGCCTAAGCATCCCAGGCGGAGGTGGACTTGTCACGTTGTTATGTACCACTGAGCTGGAACTGACGCATAGCTGACCCTCCAGCAGGTTTTCAGAAGCTGTTTCATCTCACAGGAGGAGATTGCCGATCCTTCTCCCACAAAGTTGCTGTTGGAGTTGAACTGTGTGCCTTTGTTTGAGTTGGCAGAGCAACTCCTTACCACTAAACCAGGCAGCACTGCCCATTTTTAATCAATCATGTAATCTATTCTGCCTGAAATGACAAACTGAAGAGAAATGGTGTAGCTTCATTGTCAAAAAGAGCATTTCAAAATCTATCTTGCAGTACAATGCTGTGTGTGACAGGATACTATCCATTTGCACACTAGGAAGTCTTACTATTATCACTATTATTCAAATATATGCACCAACTACAAAACCCAAAGATGAAGAAATGAGGATTTCTAACAACATTGGAAGAGAAGCCAAAACAAGGGGAAGGAAAGCTGTGGTAGAAGAGCTAAGCAGACTTCAAAGGGCAGCTCAAGAAGACAAAGCAAAGTATTACAAGGAAGTGTACAAGGAACTGGAGTTTGAAAACCAGAAGAGAAAAACACGACATTTCTTAAGATGAAAGAACTGCAGAACAAACGGAAGCCTCATGTTGCAACACTGAAGGATTCTACAGGCAAAATCTTGAATGACATAGGAAGCAACCCAAGAAGTTGGAAGAAACACAGAGTCCCTATAGCAAAAAACGTTGTTGACACTGAATTTATTTCAGGAAGTAGTACATGATCAAGAACCAATAGTATTAAAGGAAGAAATTAAAGCTGCACTGGCAAAAAAACAAACTCCCAGGAACTGATGGAATAACAATTGAGGTGTTTCAGGAAACAGACGTGATGCTTAGTGTGCTCACCAGTTTCCACCAACAAATATGGAAGACCTGGCCAACTGACTAGAAGAAATCGGAATTTGTTCCCCCAAGAAGGGTGAGTGAGCCAGCAGACTGTGGAAATTATTGAAAAATACAATTAATATCATAGTCAAGCAAAATCTTGAACACTATTTAAAAATGGCTGGAACAGGACATCAACAGAGAACTGCTGGAATTTTAAGCTGGATTGGGGACAGGCATGAGGGCTATCATTGCGGATGTCTGATGGATCTTGGCTGAAAGCAGGAAACCAGAAAAATGTTGGTTGTGTGTACCGTAAGTCAGAACCCACCCATAACTGGGTTTTCAGAGGTAGTTAATCGCCTAAGAGACTTCCCAGCCTTCTGTGGAGCAGCTGGTGGCCTTGAACTACGTGTCTTCAGGATTGCAGGCGCAGCTTCTTGCCACGAGGCCACCAGAGGTGCCCCCAGAAGAATGCAGACCTGTGTTTTATTGGCTATGCGAAGACATTTGACTGTATCATAACAAATTATGCTAACATTGGGAAGAATGGGAATCACTGAACACTTAATTGTACTTTATTCAAAACCTATAGAGAGAGATATAGAGATATAGGTATAGATACAGATAGGAGAGAGAGAGAGAGACTGACTCTTGAAGCACTGTTCTGAATAAAACAAGGCAAAATCTGGTTTAAAATCAAGAAAGATGTGCATCAGGGTTGTACTCTATCTCCACATCCAGTCTGTAAACTGACTTGCTTGTTACTGTGATGCCGGAAGCCAGCGGTATTTAAAAAGCCAGCGGTATTTAAAAAACCAGCAGGATTACCCAAAGCAGGCAGGTCCAGTGGAGCTTCCAGACCGGCCATCCACTTCATAAAATAGGCCTCGGAAAACCCTACAAGTAACCGAAAAATCTTTATTTAGATGAGCAGTCAGTTAACTGCAGATTGCTCCCAGACACCAGGCGGTAAGGACACCGAGCTGCCAGGATTCCCAGCAATTTCTAACACCCGGCAGCTAGAAGCAGGAGGCCGGCTCTCCCACGCCCTGCAGACACTTCGTTCTGCGCACGCGCGCCGCCGGAAGAGTCGGAAATACGTTTGAAAGACCCAATCAGCGCCCCAGCTCTCGGCGCCAGCCAATAGGAAGCCCGAGCGCGAGGGGCGGGCCGGAGCAATGGGTTTGAATCGCAGCGCGCGCGTCCGTAGGCGCCTGCCCGGGGTGGGGACCTCCACGGGCATTATGGCGGAGGCTTCGGACCTGGAGGCCATTCTGCAGCAGAGGCTGCGGCACAGCCGCCATCGCTTCCAGAGAAGCATGCGGCTGCTGATAGCGAAGGTGCAGCCCCAGCTCCAGCTGCGAGGGTTGGCGGGGTCGGGGTCCCAGAGCGCGGGGCAGGGCTGCTCGGGACCTGGGGACAGGGAGTCGTGGCCAGGATGCATGCGGGACAGGGGAGTCGTGACCACGATGCATGGGGAACAGGGGAATCGTGACCACGATGCATGGGGAACAGGGGACTCGTGGCCACGATGCATGGGGGACAGGGGAGTCGTGACCACGATGCATGAGGGACAGGGGAGTCGTGGCCACGATGCATGGGGAACAGGGGAGTCGTGACCACGATGCAAGCAGAGGGGATGCGAGGATACAGGACCGAGTGTCAGCAAGAAGAGGGAGGGAGAGTGGGGCCAGGTGGTGGGAAGTCGCAAAGAGGTGAACATGGGGTCTGCGTGCAAGAATCCGGAGAGACAGGACACAGATTCAAGGTGAAGGCAGGTTCGGGACTTTTGCTGGAGTCGGGGTCCTGGCTGGAAATGGGGGACTAGGGGGAAGAGGTAGGGTCCACGTGCTGGAGGCTGAGGTCAGGATGGGAGCTGTGGTTCTGGAATCCTGGTACCTGATTGATGCGAGGCAGATCGGAGAAAAGGTATAAGAAAAGGAGAGATGGGGTCCAGGTGTGCGGGTGGAGGACCGGGTATTAGGAGAGTGTGACAAGGAGCTATACTGTCTGCGGAATCTGGTACTAGGGGTGATGAAGAGATTGGTTGGAGGGCTAACTTCTGACCTGATGGAACACCCCTCCCTCTTGCAGTATGACCAGCCCTTCGAGGACGCCCCGCTGGTGGAGATGACCACGCTGACCTACCAGACAGCCCAGGGTATGAACCATCTCCCATTCCAAGTGTATGTTGTTAGAAATGTGGAGGGGGGTTGGTGTTTCTTTTTTTAAGTGTAGCGTTTGGAAATAGCTGTAGGTTTGTGAAGTGTGGCATCAGGATAGGAGGTAGATTCATCAATAGTCCGCAGTTATGCAGATGACACACACTGCTTGCTGAAACTGAGGAGGACAGTGTGTGAGTTAAAGCTACAGCTAGCTGACTTTCCAGTGGACTTTCAGAGGTTGTAAGTCACTCAGGAAGAGATTGCCCATCCTATAGAACAGATTATTCGGGAGGCTGGGCTCTATGAGGAGAAATGTGGGGTCAAGATTGGTGGACGATTTATCAACAATCTGTGTTATGCAGATGACACAACCCTGCTTGCTGAAACTGAGGAGGACCTAAAGCACCTGCTGCAGAGGGCCAAGGACTGCAGCCTTCAGTATGGATTGAGGCTCAATGTCAAGAAGACAAAGATTCTCACCACTGGGCCAATTAGCAGCATCATGATAGATGGTGATGAGATTGAGATTGTTCACAGCTTCAGTTTGCTTGGCTCCACAATCAATACTCTTGGTACCAGCAGACAGGAAATTAAAAGATGAATTGCACTGGGAAAGTCTGCTGTCAGAGACCTCTCCAAGGTATTGAGGAGCAATGATGTCAGTCAGGAGACGAAGGTGCACCTTAATGGTGATACAGGCCATTGTCTTTGCCATTGCTTGCTATGCATAAGAGAGCTGGACTAGGGATGATAGAAGGAGAGTTGATGCCTTTGAGCTTTGGTGCTAGAGAAGAGTACTGAATATACCATGGACTGCTAGGAGAACAAACAAGTTCATCCTGGAGAGGGTGAAGCCAGGCTGCTCCTTGGAGGCAAGGATTCTGAGGCTTTGTCTGACATACTTTGGACATGTTGCAAGGCAGGATCAGTCCTTGGAGAAGGACTTCATGCTTGGGAGGTTGGAGGGGCAGTACAGGAGAGGGAGACCCTTGGTGAGATGGATTAAGTCAGTAACTGGGATCATGGGGATGGGTGTGTCAGAGACAGTGAGATTGGCAGGGAATAGAGCAGGCAGGGTTCAGGACTGTTGTACATAGGGTTGCTGTGAGTCGCAAGCGACTTGACAGCACATAACAACAACAACCACCATGTATGTAGGTAAGCAGAAATGATCCCTGCAGGCATAGATGGTTAGGAATGTCCCATTACCTGGCAGCTTCACACCTCTTTAGGGAGAAGGGCAGTACCTGTGACGCTGTTGGGAGGGTGCCTTGTCATTAAATGCTCACATTGACTGTTATTTGTCCTGTTGGAATATTACCTACCATCCTTCAGGGTCTGAGCACAGGTGTGCACTTCTTACAGCCACAGCGTCATCTGAGACACAGGATGATAAACTTTGGGCATTGTATGAACATGATATTAAATTCTCATGGGATCCTGCTTCAGGCCGTCCTTGCTGCTCCTGCTGGCAGAGACCAGGGGAGCAGGTGGCCTTTGTGGGGTGGTTCTCTTACCTAGCGAATGGACGGTTGGGTGTAGCTGATTCCCGAATGGGGTGTTTGCCCCATACTTGGGTTTGTTCTGCTACAGGTTGTCCTTGCTGTGTAGACCCCTAACAGCTCGACTGCTGTCCAGCGTGGGCTGTAGGTCACCCTCGGTGTCTGAGGGACTACTGCTTCTGCTGCACTTTAGGGTCGGCGATGTAGCTGACGGTTTTCCTTAATGACTGAAAGCAGAGACCTCGCAAGCACCGCAGCCGAAGTCTCAGCCGTCTTGTGAGCCGTGGTGGTTGAAGGTTCTCGTTTACTGGTTTTGGTGCACAGGCGGTGTGGCATGACTAATGTGGGACTTTGCTGTCTTTGCTTCAGGATTGAGAGTGTGGGGTGGAAGACTGATCGAGGAGGAAAGCGCACAACACTCCCAGGTACTTAACGCCAAGGTTTGGGCCAGCAGGAGCCCTGGTGGTGATATGGGCAAAACAGTCGGCCGTTAGCCAAAAGGTTGGTGGTTCAAACCCACCTGTCACTCCGTGGAAATAAAGCTGTGGCCGTCTGCTCCTGTAAGGATCACAGCCTTGGAACCTTCTGGGCCTGTTGTCTTCTGGTTTGCTGGGAAGAGGAGCTGGTGAAACGGCTCACTTCATAGAGTGATTTTGGGTGCAGGACTTCACAGAAGCTCTGGGGTGTCCTTGCTGAAACAGTATCTTCATTGGCTTTGCAGGTGGAGGGCACCCCATTGACGCCGGTCAGCCAGGGAGACAGCCCCCAGCGAGCTGCACACACAGGTCAGCACCCTGCACTGTGGGGGCTCACGTATGCAAGTTGTGAGTGTGTGCCCTCCATGTGTGAGCCCTGGTGTGTTTCATGTGTCCTGGTGTGTTTCGTGTGCCCTGCGTGTATGAGCCCTGGGGAGTTTCATGTGTCCTACGTGTGTGAGCCCTGGGGAGTTTCATGTTTCCTGGTGTGTGTGTGTACCCTGCATGTGTGGTGCCCTGCGTGTGTGAGCCCTGGTGCGTGTGCCCTGCCTGTGTGAGCCCTGGGGAGTTTCATGTTTCCTGGTGTGTGTGTCTGTATGCATGTGCGTGCCTTGCATGTGTGAGCCCTGCTGTGTTTCATGTGTCCTAGTGTGTTTCGTGTGCCTTGCATGTATGAGTCCTGGCATGTGTATGTTCCGTGCACGTGTGAGCCCTGGTGTGTTTCGTGTGCCCTGTGTGTGTGAGCCCTGGGGAGTTTCATGTTTCCTGGGGGGAGGTGCCCTGCATGTATGAGCCCTGCACATGTGAGCTCTGGTGTGTTTCGTGTGCGAGCCCTGGGGAGTTTCATGTTTCCTGGTGTGTGTGTGTGTGTGTGTGTGTGTGTGTGTGTGTGTGTGTGTGTGTGTGCACCCTGCATGTGTGAGCCGTGCTGTGTTTCATGTGCCCTAGTGTGTTTCGTGTACCCTACATGTATGAGTCCTGGCACATGTGTGAGCCCTGGTGTGTTTCATGTGTCCTGTGTGTGTGAGCCCTGGGGAGTTTCATGTTTCCTGGTGTGTGTGTCTGTGTGTGTGTGCACGCATGTGTGAGCCGTGCTGTGTTTCATGTGTCCTAGTGTGTTTCGTGTGCCCTGCATGTATGAGTCCTAGCATGTGTGTGTTCCGTGCACGTGTGAGCCCTGGTGTGTTTCGTGTGTCCTGCGTGTGTGAGCTCTAGCTTGTACTCTTCCCTCCACCGCCCACAGGTTCTGGAAGCCCCTTGGGTTACTGCAGGCAAAGCTGTGAGCCAGAGCTTCTCGGCTATGCCTTGTTTTCTCAGATCTGGAAAGGTTCCCTCTCTGGCAGGGCAATCTTCACTTTCCTGTCACATTAGTGGGAACGAGCTGCCTTTTCCTTCTCTGGCAGGTTTCCATCTCACGCAGGTCCTGGCTCTCACAGGATTTGCTGTCATGGCCACAGACAGCTGTTGGTGGCCTGGGTCTTGACTCAAGGGTAGCACAGTGGACCTCTGGAGCTTTCTGCCCTGGGTCATACCCAAGCGAGAAGGAAACTCTACTTGAACAAAAATGCATGGACTTTCTGACTGGAGTTTCCCTTTTAGATTCAAAGAGCGATGATCTCAATGCCACTTTTGACTGGAAAGATGAGGCAGCTATGGCTATGGCCCTGACGGTAAGAGCGGCCTTCTGCAGGGTGTGGACAGAGGGCCCCACGTGTGTCCTTAGCTCAGGCCACTAGGTGTTCTCTGGAAAGAACAGTGAAGGGGAAGCTGGTGGCCCTTCCCCAGTAATATGCTTGTGAGGTCCCCTGCTGCCATGCCAGATTCCTGCCCCAACCCCACTCGGTCTTTAAGTGGGAGCTGAGACACAGCCTCCAGGGTGTGAGGCGTAAGAAGAGGGGTGTCCGCTCCCCTCAAGTGGTGAGGCCTGTGCTCATGTAAAGTTCCCAGGTCATTTCAGCATCTTTCTGTCCTGGTGACCCGACCACCAGGTTCTTCAGACGTTAATTCTTTTCTCTTTGCTGTTCTTACAAGGTAAGCGCCCAAAAGTCAGGAGGTCTTTCAGAGGGGAGGGACTAAGCAGAGGCGGGAAGAGTGACTGTAGGTGTCCTCATCTGGACCGTTCCACAGCGCCAGTGCTCGGCCGGCCCCAAGCCTCTAAACGTTGCCGTCTCTGTTTTTACCAGCCCCCCGTGCCGCAGAGCCCCCCGATAGATGAGCTGCGGAGGAAGTACCTGACGCAAGTGGACATTCTGCTACAGGATGACAAGCGTTCAGAGGTAGCCAGCTTCCCAGGCCTGTCGTGCGATCGTGTCTGGGACTGGAGACACAGCCAGGTCAGGGGCACGGGTTGGGTTTGCCTCCCTGCACGGGTCCCTCGGTTACTCTGGGCGCCTGTCACTCAGCCCTCGTGGATTTTGTGCTTCTGGAGGGAGCATCCCAGGCCCGCTGGTATCAGCTACCATGGCGTCAGCCCCATCTCGTGACGACTCCGGGCGGTACGGAGAATACAGAGTACATGTGTCTCTTGGCTTTTGTTGTTGTTGTTGTTGAGTGTCTTCCCGTAGATCCTGGTTCATAACCACTTCGTGTGTCATTGATGGGGCGCGCCTGTGTCCTAGGCCACCTGGCAGCTGCTGCTGTATTTAAACCCCCCAGTGCAGCCACTGCTGGGCCGGCTCACTGAGGGCTCTGTTCTGCTGGCCTTCTGCTTTGCCAGGAGACTGGCTCCTCGGGTAGCATATCGGAAGTGTGGGAGTCGGTCTCCCCACCCTTGTTTCTAAGGATCACCGAGGCCGTACCCAGGTCGTTTGGTTCTCCTCACAGCCTGCAGAACATTCCCTGTCACCGACCCCATAATCCAAAGACCTCAGTTCTGTGGTAGTCCTGTTCATTGTCCAGTTTTTGTGCTGCGCTCCCCCGAGTATCAAAATCATGTAAAGATGTTCTCTCTGACAGGACATTCAACAGAGGTTTTCTTAGGACCCTTTTTCTCTTGTTCTCAGCAGGTGGACGACAGAGTTGGAGAGGACATCCTTGTCACCCTGGGCTCTGTGTCAGTCAAGCCCACCCTCGGTGAGTACAGCACTGACCGTTGTGGGTGACGTCCATTGTACCCACGTGATAGATCCAGTCGGGATTCGCTCAAACATTGTCCAGCGTGTTCTCAGGACACCCGTATCTTATTCCAGAATGTTCCCTGGTCTTTCTGCTGCCACTGTCCGCCCTCATGCCATGGACATTCTCGTGTGGTCTTAGCTAGATGGTCCTTGCAGAAAGCCCTTGATTTTGTAGATTTGTAATGACTGCTTTTTACACACACTCTACGAGGCGGAGAGGTGCCCTTGATAAATGCAGTCCATTAGTTAAGGTGGACTCCAGCCTTCTCTCTGCAGCAGGGCCTCCCTGCCCTCGGTCCTCCGGGCTTTGAGTGTGAGTGAGAGCCAGGGTTATAGTGGTCAGCGAGGGTCACGCCTGAGGTGCGGGTTGCAAACCAAGCCCCTCCTGACTACTTGAGCTGATGTGTATCCTCCTTTAAAGAATCCCCGGGAACTTGTAGAATCTTCTCTCCTCTGCAAGTGTTAGAGCCCATCGCAGCGTTCTGTGGGACATCCGGCGGATCCCCACTGCCCTGGACGCCCCTGGTGGACAGTCTTCTCCACCCCCGGCAGGTGTCTGCCATGCACTCGGCCCCTCCTTCCTGAGTCCCGCTCGCGTGTCCCCTCTGTCGGCCATTGCCTGCATCAGTGTCCTCTCATGTCCCAGGCCCAGCGTATCAGCACCTGCTACCATTCTGGGCCCTCCACAGTGTCCGTAAAGGCTGGACTTCCCGAGCAGCGAGTTCAAAGCTGCTGGAATTTCTTTTCCTCTTCCTGTTGTTGCACTTTGCTAAGCAGTGAGATCTCTTTGGTTTTACTTATGTTCAGCCTGGAGCCCTGATGTCACGGCCGGATAGACGTTAGACTTGCAACCAAAGGTTGGGCAGTTCAAATCCTCCAGCCACTCTGTAGGAGAAAGCTGAGGCAATCTTCTCCCGTAAGGATTCCCGCTGAGCACCTGCGGGGCTGCCATGGTCTGACTCAGCAGAGGACTGTAGAATTTTACCTCGCCATCCATGCAGATTTCTTCCTTTTCTGTTTATCTAGTATACGTGCCACATTTGACCTGTTGCAAAAGTCTGTTTACAGAGGCTCACCCAACGCCTGTTTGTACTGGTAAACATGCTCAGGTGACCTAGATCGTCTCACAGAAAGGAGACTCCTTGGTAGTTACGAGAAGTAGAAGCCTGGCTGAGAGCGGAAGAGGTCCCTTTGGCTGGTGTCGGTGGACTTGTTTTGTTGTCAGTGGCTCTGAGCGTCTGTCCTGGCCCTTCTCCTGTCCCCAGCCCCCTGAGCCCTGCATCCACCTAACACACCTGCCCTTTTGTTTACCTCCTAGGAGACGACAGGGGCGTCTGTGCAAGGAACACCTGGAGCCCCGATAACCCAGCACCATCCCTCCGAGAAGGTGACCTCTCCACTGCCTGGGAAGTGGTGCCCGGAAATGACAGTCTTGTGTCCCACGGGGTCAGTAGCCACAGCTTCTCAAGCTGCCAGTCCTTCGAGGCCAGGAACATTTGCGACGTGACCATCAGTGACCTGTACGAGGGGATGCTGCTCTCCATGAGCCGGCTGCTGGCCAAGCAGCCATCTTGCATCATCTCCACCAAGACCGTCCTCACCCAGGACTGGCGTTGGCGGAGGAGGGCCAGGGGCAAGGGCAGGCTGGGCTGGACGTACTGCGGAAGAAACAGAGCTGCAAACTGGGCCTCCGGGCGCCGGCGCTCGCCCCCCTCCCAGCCCGACGGGGCGCCCCACAGACCCAAGGACTTACTGTGCGGTTCTGGCCACGGCACAGCCTTGCAGCTGAAGAGCCCTCTGCAGGAAGCAAACACCCTCCGGGCGCACGACTCAGCCCCGCACCGTGAAGACCTGACGGTCACTCCCCGGAAGTCCTCTTGGTCAAGGCATTTGAGCTTCATTGTGGACCACGATCTGGATCAGGAGGACAGAATCATGACACTGAATTGGTTAATTTCTCCTGTAAAACTCAAGTCCAGACCCACCACCCTTCAGTGCCTTGTGGAGACTCGCCACAGCGAGATTGAGTTCAAGTTTGATAAGCTCTATCAGAAATGCTGTCCCGACCCCTCCACCCTGCCTGGCCCTGTGGGCCCCTGGGCTGTGGACGTGTACAGAGGTGACCGCACAAACCCTGGCTGCCTCCGGGGCTCCCGCCGACTGAGTCTGCCTGAGGGCTTGGGAAAACCCCAGAAAGGATCCATCAGAGGGGGTGAGTGCCTGCCAAAGCGAGGTCCCTCTCTGACTGACCCAGCACAGCACCCAGGCCACTGGGAACCGGCAGTGGACAGTGTTCTCCAGAGAAGCAACCCTGGGGCCCATAAATGGTCCCTGCCACCCGCCAAAGCCCTTTCACCACCAAGTATACATCTAGGCCAGAAAAGTAGTCACTACAGTGGCATCAAAGAAAGATTTGACAGATTCCATCAAGATTCTTGCCCAGCGACTGGCCTGCAGACGGTGGAGTGGTCCTCAGACCGGGCTGTCATGGATTCTCCGTATAAAAAATCCTTCCAAGGGAAAAGGGTCGCTGACACCGACTGCCGAAGCCCCCAGAAGCCACTGTTCTCACCCCAGTGGAGTATAAGAAGTCCACCGGGCCCCACTGCAGGCCAGAGTCACCCTTGGAAAGGCGTCCCTCATGCTCACAGGTTGGACCATCTCTCACCTGCAAAAAGACGCAGGTTGTCGGACCCTGTGGTGAGTGGACAGTGGATCAGGTCCTGGGACCCTGCGTGTGTGTGCAGGGCCACACCAACACCCCGGCCAGGGACCCAGACGTTGCAGCGAGACAGGGAAGAGAAGGTACGTTTCCGTTTGTGAACGTGCTCTGTGGGCGAAGGCTTTTAATGTGTTTACGTCCATTCGCTGAGTCTAGCAGGACGCCTAGGTAAGTGTTCTTTGTCTAAACGTTCTCCTAACGCTAACGCACCGGTTACGGTTCCCATTTCCACTGGAGTGACATGTTCACGGGGCTTCCCAGGTGCTCTGTTCTCGTCATCCACTTTTACGAAACGGCTTACACGGCCTCCTGAGTTAGCACTATCTATCTGACGTTCCTCCTTCATAGCTTTGAAAAAATTCCTGAGCGGTGCTTCCGGTGTCCAGGCTCCACACGTGACCCCAGCTGGGCCTACGGCACCCTCCACAGGCCACCCTGAACCTCTGAACGTGGGCCCTGGCTGTGGGACACCCCGCTTCTTTGTCCTCCGTGTTTGTTTATTTCTTCAGTCTGGTCCCAGAGGGTGTGGAGTGATAGGAGGTCCCAGGCAGGCAGGGGAAAGGCAGGTGCTTGGAGGGCGGGAAGACGAGGGAGGGAGGGAGGGACAGGAACTCCAAGGAGCTGAGAGCCAGGCAGACGGAGAACAAACAAGATTCCCATCCAAGGCAGGAGATGGTGAAGGAGGTCCCTCTTCACCACATGCTACCCAGGGACACCTGCCGGGTAGTGAGTGGCGGGAGGTGAGTGGTCCGCATCCACACCTCCATCACCTCAGACAAAAGCAGAGAGAAACAGGTGTTGACCCTCACATAGCGCTGACCCTCACATAGCACATAACGACCTGGTCTCAGGAAACTAACCCTGTTAAGTGAGGCTTGAATGTATTTCCAGCCTTTTTGGTGTGTCAGAATTAGTGAGACTGGCTCGAGCCAGGGAAGGGTTTATACTTGCTGTACATATGGGCGCTATGCATCACAATTAACTCAGTGGCACAGAACAACAATAACATACTATGACAGGGTTAGAAGCAGGAGTGGCATCCACTTCCTAAACAACATGCCTCTGGAAACACTGTGAACTTTGATAAATGTTGATAGTTGTAGAGGGGCTTCAGGCCTTTTGTTCATAGAGTCGCTATGAGTCGTACTCGACTCGAAGGCAATCAACAACAACTCTAACTCATACTCCAAAGGTATCAGTGATTTTGTGTGCTGTCAAGTTGGAACCAACTCAGCTCTAGTGAGTTTTCAGAGGCTGCAAATCGCGTAGAGGAACACTGCCCATCTTTCTTTGGAGCAGCAAGTGGGTTTGAACCATTGGCCTTTGAGTTGGTAGTGCAACTCCTTACAGCTAAGCAACCAGAGCTTTTTTAAAAAAAAAAAAAAAATTTACAGGAAGGAGAACTGGTCTGAATAGTGACTTTCTAGTTACATCTGGCTGTCTGTCATCATGACTCGGGACCCATGGTCAGCGTCCCTACCTCAGTCGGCATCCCTGCCTTGTCTGGCATCCCCACCTCGTCCAGCATCCCTTCCTCTCAGCATCCCTACCTCGTCCAGCATCCCTGCCTCTCAGCATCCCTACCTCATCCAGCATCCCTACTTCGTCCAGCATCCCTACTTCATCCAGCATCCCTACCTCGTCCAGCATCCCTACTTCATCCAGCATCCCTGCCCCAGTCAGCACTCCTGCCTCACTCAGCACCCTTACCTCACTCAGTATCCCTGCCTCGGTCAGCACCCCTACTTTTAGCATGTCTACCTCGGTCTTGCCCTGGGCCTTGCAGCACCTGTGCTCCAGCCCCTTCTTGGGCTCTATAGTCACTGCCTTTGACACCTCTGTCTTCTTCCTTGCACTGTGATCATTGCTGATGCGACCCTCTTGACAAGCAGGCCATGAAACCTTCAGAATGCTTCAGCTGGAAATGGGGCTCTGCTATAGATACACCGTGACCCTAGAAGCATCTGTGCGTTTGAATTAAGTGTTAGAGGAGAATATTGACTGTGCTGGGGGCTTCTAGGACTTGATGTCACATTCTTCGGGCATGGTGTCAGGAGGGGCCGGATTCTGGAGAAAGATGTGATGCCTGATAAAATAGTCCGAGAGAAAGGAAGACAGACCCTCAGCGAGAGAGTGACAGTGACATCCACGAGGCCTCGAGCGTGGCAGAACTGTGAAGGTGGAGCAGGACTGCATGGCGTCTCTGTTGGATGTGTGGTCCAGTGTAATTTGCTGGCTTTATAAAGAAGGAAATGAGCTGGAGCTTGAATCCTGTAGCTTCTATATTCTGTCAGGACAGGCCAAGTCACAGTGTGAAGCCGGACACCTAGACTCCTGACTGCAGGGCGGGCATTGCCGGCCCCTGTTCCTTCACATACTTACTCTTCTCATGGACTTACAAATATTGATGTGCAGGCAATGGCAGGAACAGGAAGGGGTGCCTGCCGTTCTGAAGGAGGATGACTAAAATCGTTTCTTTGCCTTTTCTCCTCCAGGAAGAAAGAACCCAGGATGGAAAAGTGATTTTTTGCAGTAGAAAAAAATCACTAAAGTGATGCCCTGGTGGATGTTGTTTTAATTTTTCAAAAATTCTAAACGTGGGACTCTGGTACACTCAGTCTGCCCTTCAAAACCAATGTCAGGTTCCATCAGACAAGACTCTGTGGCCTTTCGTAAATAAATAAAGTTTCTTATTTATTTTGCTCTTTTCTCTGTTACCTTTGAAGATTTGACATGTCTAAAAATTCTGCCTGCCACTTGCATCTTGTTAAAATTGTTCCTTTAGGAAACCACCGTTTAAGCCCTGGAGAAGATGATCCTTGAACGAAAACAGCTGCTTGGAACCCCTGCTGGCACAGTGTAGAGCACCTTGCTGCTCCCCAGAAGGTCAGCCGTTCAAATCCACCCGGTATTCCGCAGGAGAAAAGACAAGAGTGCTCCTGTCAAAGAAGCCTCAGAGGTGGTTCTCTGCACTCCTTCAAGCTCCGGTCAGAATCCACGCAACAGCAATGGTGGTTTCTTGGCTTTGTCTTTCAGAGATCTGACAGTGTCATGGGTAAGCACTTGGCTGACAACCAAAAGGTCGGCAGTTTGACTCCCAAGAGAGAAGGCTTGGCAATCTGCCAAAAAAATTCATGATTTAAGAAACACCATGGCACAAAAGTAAAAAAAAAAAAGAAACACCATGGCGGCCTAGTGGTAAGGAACTGGGCTGCCAACCCAAAGGCACATGGTTCGAATCCACAAGCTGCTCTGCAGGAGAAAGATGGATATTCTCCTCTTACGTAATTAACTGTCTCTGAAAACCCTCTGGAGGGTCAGTTAAAGGTTGGTTCTGACTCCACAGTACCCAACAACCGTGCATTCACCTAGGATCCTGTGCTTGGGAGTTGGGTTACCTGGGGTGGGTTCTGCTGGGTGGGGACTCAGGAGTGCACAGCCTGGGGGTCCTAGCCTCATAAACTACCACACCATATGTGTCATCAGAAGGGCCCTGTCCCTGGGAAAGGACATCACTAGAGTGGGGAGAGTCCTCTGCCCTCCCAACGCGGGTCTTTACTGAGTGACTGCTTTGGCCGGTACCACCATGTGGACAAACATTTGCCTTGGAAGAAGGACAGACAGAGCGGTCCTCGGGAGCCTTGCTCACATGTGCTTTCGGGTTGTCATTAGGCAGGAAACACCTTTCTTGGGAAATTTCGTAAAGGTCTGAAGAAGAGGCAGAGCCTTCAGGAGATGGGTTGGCACAGTGGCCCCTCCTGTGGGCTCCACTCGGCCGTGATTGTGAGGATGGTGTCAGGACGAGCGGTGTCACGTTCTGCACGTGGGGTCGCTGACATCATCCTCCTGTGCCTGGCTCCCTAGTTGCGGCTTTGTTATTGACCTGATCTGGGTATACACTGAATTATGTGAACCAGCTCGGTCTTGACAGAATTGCAGATAACCTCCCCCATCCATGATGCATGGTTGAACTATGGCGTTTTATTTACAGTTCAAGTAACAATCCTTTCTTTTTTAAGCCTTTCTTCCCTGGTTTCTCTTCGTTACGGAACTCCACACACCTCACTCCCACCCACCCCTGATCAAAAGTACACTCTTAATTTCCCAAGTCCTTGCTCTTCTAGTTTAGATGCCTGGCCCCAGGAGTGTCTGCGTGGCTGGGCATGGGTGTGGCCACCCCACTGGACAAACTAGCTGTCCTCCAGTGTAGTCCTCAGGTGGCCACAGGTGACCAGTGCAGTCAGGGGAGCGCTTGGCACAAGCAGCCTGAGCCCTTCCGCTGGAGTGGACGGGCTGTCCACTGGGGCTGCAGCTGGTAAGCCCCTCATTCTTTGCCTTCAGCAGTGTGTGTTGGGGGGCAGTCAATCCAGGAGCCCCTGTCCTGCCCTGTGCTGTTTCTCAGAAGTGCATGACTTTCTCTTTGGCCCTCATCCGCATCCTCTCCCAGGTGTCTCAAGCATGAGGTGATGACTGGGCCTTGAGCCCTGGCATGGCTGTGGGATGCTCGCCCATCTTCTGCTGTGATGACTGGGGGGCTAGACGTCTGCCTTTCCCTTCCCTGGGGGCCATGGGCACAGCTGGCAAGAGCAGCCTGCCCTGCTGTGTAGCCAGGGCCTGGCAGTTGGCACCTCAGCCTGCGAGGAGTGGGACACGGTGTTTGCAGTGCAGTGAGGGGCCTGTCTGGTACATCACACCAGGGGAGGTGGGCTGGAGGCCCCTTAGGGCCTGGAGGCAGAGCCCCACTGTCTGGGTTCTGGGGTGTATGGAGACCCGTCCCAGTGGAAGAGTGAGGAGCTGTTTATCTGGGAATAGGACATATCTTCCATGTGAAACAGGAACGGCGGTCAAGGCTGAAGTGGACACCCAGGGGCATCAGCAGTGAGTGGGCCCCGAGGGGACGCCCTCGGGAGCCACCAGGAGCTTGTGCTGGGTGCAGCTGTCCAGGACCCTGAGTGCGTCCAGGGCAGCTCGCCGCACCTCGGGCTCCGCGTCCAGCTGGAGCTCCTGGAACACTGGGAGTAACCAGAAGGGGACAATCAGGCCTCTGCTCCGCAGGCCATGACCCTGTCCCAGCGGCGTGTGACTGCCGGGGTCACAGTCCCACCCTTCTCATTGAATGACTACTGAGGACACAGTGGTGACCTGGCCAGCATGTGTCCACGGTACCCACACCCCAACTCTAGTCAGCGCATGGTGACCATCAGGGCAGTGGCCCTGCATTGGCCAGCAGGTGACTGCTGGGGCCCCATTCCTGCGCTGACCAACGTGAGCTGACCAGAAGCAAAGTGACCTGGTATCCAGGCTCCTGCAGACTGCAGGGCGGGACCCTTGAACTTGAAGTCAGAAGCTGGGCAAGCTGGGGGTCCTGGGCTCATGTCTCCTAGCTTTGGTCCCCCACCCACTGCACCTGAAGGCCTGACCCCTGAGGGGAGATGCAGAGACCAGGACCTGGAAGGTGCCCACCCCCAGCAGTCATTCTCCTGGGGAGTCCCTCAGCGTCCACCTCCCTGTTCACTGGCTCCTCTGGCCCCAACATCAAACACGTGTGTCAGGTAACACCCCTGCACAGAGTGGACTCAGTGGGCAGTGGACATCGAAACTCATGCTACTCACAGCTCTGTAACTCCACAAAGTCCAGCTTCTTCAGGTAGCTTACCGCCATCTGCTTCAGTATGACCCCTGAGACGGGAGTCAAAGTTCTCCATGAGCATCACAGGGCAGCCAGCAGGTGGCCACTCCCCTCCCCCAGACAGCTGGTGGGCCTCCCGGAGCACATAGGCCACCGAACTGTCAGCATGGAGGAAGCCCAACTGGCCACAGGGTAGGTAGGTGTGAGGCATGCGGGACTAGGGGGAAGGTTAGACCTGGTTCCAGCCCCACTGCAGACCCCAGGGTCTAGGTCACAGTCAGTCACTTGGACTTGAACCAGGTGACCTTCGAGGTCCACCCAGAGCCGGGGGAAAGCTGGCCACCCACCTGCCAGATTGCATGCAGCGATTCTGATCCTGGACAAGCTGTTTCTCATGTAGCCGATGGTTTCCAGCAAGAAAGTATAAAGAACAGCTGGTTTCTTCTGAGTCTGCAAAAGAGGGGCGCTTCCTGGCTTGGAGGGGGAGCTCCTGACAAGAGGCCCACACAGTGCTTCCTACCTGCCTGGGGCGCCAAGCGCCATGTACCTGACTGAACAGGTATTCCTACAGGGACCAGAAAGGGCAGCTCTATTCCAGGCTCACACAGCACTTGGAGCTGGAAGGCCTATGGACCTATCCACCCTGCTCTTTTCTCTGACCCAGAGAAGAAGGCTTCACTTTATTGTACTTTGCAGATATTGAGAATTACTGTTTTGATTTGTTTTCATGAATTTAAGCTTTGTGATGAAGCAATACCAATTTTATCATTTTCCCAACTCTGCTCCCTTTGTGTCTGTGTGCCACAGCAACCAGAAGAAGTCCATGTGGTGCCCATTCCAAAGAAGGGATGGACCGGAATGTGACAAAGAGTCCAACAGCATCATCAGCGCCACACACAAGGAAGATCTTGCTGAAGATTACTCAGAAATGGAGCAGTACAATGACAGAAAACTGTCAGACATTCAAGCTGGATTCACACAGCCTGATGTCTGATGTCAGACAGAGATTGTGGCTGAAAGCAAGGAGCTGCCAGGAATGGAGCAGGGCCTGCTGGACTCGAGTCTCTGACTGCAGAAACTCCTTGATGATGGGGGAGGCCCAGCATATGGAGGTGTCTGAAGGACACTCAGCCTACAGATGCTGAAGGAAACAAGGACTTGCCTCCTGAACCCACAGGAAAAGGTGGGCCTTCCCTGAACTTGAACTTGGACTCGTAGCCTGAACTAACACAGTCCCATGTGTTTGTTAATACCATCCTCATGTGGTCTTTCTGTTAAGCAGCAACAGAGAACTAAGACAGAATTACATAAATATATTTACTAACATTGGCTTTCCCTATTGTCCTGTAACGTGTCTAAACAGGAAACAAAGTGGCTGTGCTCTCACCAGGAAGGTGCACATGGCCGTCTGAAACAGAGCCATCTCATCTGCGCTGGCAGTGCTCTGCACGTGGGGGGTCTCCAGGCCCTTGCAGCCCCAGAAATGCAGGCACTGGGACATGGTCTCCATACAGACCTAGGGAGAGGGCATGGATGGCAGGGCAGGTGTCAGTCAGGTCCAGGGCGAGGCACAGAGGGCTGGGAGTGGCAGAGATGACCACCAAGCACCTTCAGAAAAGTCTCGTGAAGGGTGGGCCAGCCTGGGGCCACCTGGACCAGGGTTACTGCTGGCCTCTGGCCCACCTTGGAGATTTGGTTCCTGACTCCACAGTTGAGCTAATACTAAGGAAAGTGAGTAAACATTAAGTGAGTCACACAGACACGTTATGTTCACACTCAGTTGTTGAGGGTCACTAAGTGGACTTGAACTCATCGTGACCCAATGTCCAACAGGTCAAAGTCTGCCACCAGAGCTCCCCAGACATACCTACGCCCCACACCTGCAGCCCTCAGCCCCAGCACTGGACGGCTTATCCTCCCCGGACTGACGTGGTTTTCCAGGGGCCATGGCCATCCTCTGGGCACTTGTGCCAAGTCAGGCCAGGTCAGGCAGGCCCAGAGGTGCTAAAGCCAAAACCCCACACCCAGCACCTTGTGGCAGTGACCCTGTGAGGCTGGGTTGAACCACTCCATCCGGTTTCTGAGGATGTAACCCTTCATGGAAAGTACCCCCTCTGTCTCCTGATGGTGGGTTTGAACAGCCAGCCTACTGGTTAGTCCACCCCTTCACTTACTGCACCAAGGTCCTTAGGAGAGATGGCCCGGCCCACTGCTGCCTACTCGAGTCTGACTCACCGTGGCCCTTATCTGGTTTCTGAGGCTAAATGTCTACGGGAGGAGACTGTCCATCTCTGGAGTGAGGGATTCGAACTTCTGACCTTTGCGTTAACAGCCCAACACAATGCAGTGCACCACCAGCGCTCCTCTAGGGGTGCTGAGGGGAGATTTCAAGCAGGGCTCCAAACCCACTCATTCTGGGTCACTCACTCCCCTGCTGAGAATTTATACTTTCACCAGGCACATCGGCTCAGAACCCACATTCTGAGAAGCTCCTGGGTGATTCACTACATGCGAGCCTAATAAAAATATCCAGAGGAGACAGGCCAATGTCCAGCCAGGACTGGGCGGAAACGAACTCGTTCCAAACCCAGACTTCAGAGGAGCCACGTCTACACTACAGCTTTTCATTTAGCGTCCAAGTGAGTGCCCATCTGCACCCTGGGGGCTTCCCACACGACTCTACTGAACTGCCCCACGGACGGTCTGGAGGTGAGGGGCCCAGGGATGGTGGCCCCGGGTTTTAGGGGGTGCAGGGGTCCGGCGCTGGCTAACAGGACTGTGTGTCTTACACTGGCTGTGCGGTCACAGGGGTCCTGGCAGTGCAGCATGAGGGCCACCCAGGCTTTCTTCACCTCCGCCTTGAAGAGGTGTCGCTTGGTCATCCACACCACCTTGGCCAGCTTCCCGAAGAGCAGAAAGGCCTTCAGCCGCAGCACCTCGCTCTCCTGCAGCCGAGCACACAGCCACACCTCAGGGTCCAGGAGCTACAAGCCAGCAACCCCCTCAGACCCCTCTGCCGGGGGATGAATAAGGGCCCTGGGGGTGGAGTGGGAGGCGCTGCTAGAGGAAATGTCAGTGTTTCGATTCCACCAGCCACTCTTTGATGGAAAGACGTGGAAGTCTGCATGTGAAGACTTGGAAACCCCAGGGGGCAGTTCCAAGAAGCCTTGACAGCATAGTGCATAATGTATCTGACTGCTAACCAAAAGGTCAGCAGTTCAAATCCACCAGCTGCTCCAGGGGAGAAAGATAAGCACTCTCCTCCCATCACGAGTTACAGCCTCTGAACCCGGTGAAGGGTGAGCAGGGGCAGTGGGTGATGGGTGGTGGCCTTGTGGGACCTGTCGGGATCATTCACCAGGGTTGAGGAGCCCTCTGGGGACCAGGAGTTATTCTTGGGTCGGTGAGAGGGTCTTCTCAAAAGGTTTTGTGCTGGATGTGAGCTCTTGCCCAGAGCCTGGCAGAGGACTGATGGTCATTCCAAAAGTATCTGCAGACCCAAAGAATTCAAAGGAACCAACTCATTCCCAACCGGCAACGGGGTGTCAAGGAGGACTCAGACCCCTGGCTAGTTATCCTCCGCGACTTAGATCAGCTTGTTTCCCTCTTCCCCATTCCATTAACAGCCACTCAGTACTACAGCAGCACCAAGTAGGCCGGGGGTCCCTGGCAGGGGGAGGGTGTGTGCACAAATGATTAAAGTGCACAGTTGTTAACCAAGAGGTTGGAGGTTCAAGTCCTCCCAAAGGCCCCTCAGAATAAAGGCCTGTGATCTCCTTCTGAACAATTATCAGTGAACCCCAAGGGCACAGCTCTACTCTCATGCACATGGGGTGCAACAAGCCCTGGGGGGGGGGCACAGCTCTGCCCTGATACACACAGGGTGGGACGTCCTGAGCTGGAGGTCACTCAAGGACAAGGTGGGGACTCCTGTTGCCTCCAAACACATATTTCTGGGGGGCGCAGGGCTCTCCCAAGCAGGCATTTGTGGGGCCGAGCATGGCCCTGTCTGGACTCACATTGTTGAAGAAGGTTCTACACTGCTCAGAGATGGCATCAAACGAGGAGCCCACATCCCCTTCCCGCAGCTCCGCCAGGACCTTGGTGAGGGCGGTCATCCCCTCAGAGGCCACCTTGGTGCTGGTGGGGTCCTGCAGGGAGGACAGGAACTTCTCCAGCAGGAGCGTCCGGTACTGCCTCACCTGCACGGCAAGGGCCAGGGGTCAGCCTCCTACACTGAGTAGCTGTGAGCCCTGTCCATCCTCAGTGCCCATCACCCACCTCCAGGGGGGCTGTGCTCAGAGGCCAGCTCAGGGAGTATGACCTCTACTCTCCTGCCCGACTCCAGGGACTGCCAGATGCAGGGCCTGGCTCAGTAACAGTCCCTACCACCTAGTTCTGGGGGGCTGTGTTCTAGGGCCCCGCTGAGTGTATGTGACCTGCACTGTCCAGCCCAAGGGAGTTTATGCTTTATGACTCTGACCAGTGGATTTGAGCCCCACTACCCAGCTCCGTGGGGAGCTGTACCCCAGAGCTTGTCTCAGCAAATGTGATCCCCACCCCCAGGCTCTCCAAGCCTGCACCCCAGCGTCTGGCAGCAGAAGGTGCAGGTGATACCTTCTTGGGGGCACCAATGGCCATGTTCCCAAGAGCACGGAGGGATAGCACCCGCAGAGCCTCGTCCTCGTGGTCCACGCCCTGCTCCAGCAAGAGCACGGCTGGCTTTAGCAGCCTCTCCCGGTGCAGAACAGGACTTCTCATGAACTAGTAAGGAAACCTTAGGATGAGTGCCAGCAGATGCCCACTTCCCACACAGGAGGGCACAGAATGCCCCTCTGTGAGGGGAAACCCTCTGGGCCTCATCCACCAGCTAGGGGACTTCACGAATCACTCAGCTTCGCTGTGCCTCAGTTTCCCGGATAAAATCCTAAACTTGCTGCCATAGCTGAAATTCCCACTCAGGGCAGCCCCATGTGTAAGGGAAGGGAACTACTCCAGAGGGTTTCCAGGACCACCTGGCCAGCTGACTGGAAGAGATCCATATCTGCTCCAATTCCCAATGTAGGGGATCCAGCAGAATGTGGAAATTATCAAACAACATCACTAATCTCATATACAAGCAAACTACTGCTAGAGAACATTTAAAAAATGGCCAAAAGAATACATAAACAGAGAACTGCTAGACATCCAAGCTGGGTTTAGAAGAGGCCATAGCACCAGGTGTAACACTGCAGAAGTCAGATGGATCTTAGCTGAAAGAAGAGAATACCAGGGGGGAAATGCTTATTTGTGTTTTATTGACTATACAAAGGCATCTGGCTCTATGGATCATAACAAACTATGGCTAACACTAAGAAGAATGGGAATCCCAGGATACATAATTGTGCACATGCAAAAACTATACCTAGACTAAGAAGCTGTTGTTCAGAGCAGAGGAACACTGCATGGTTTAAAATCAGGAAAAACATGTGTCAGGGCTGTATCCTTTCTCCATACCTGTTCAATCTGTATGCTGAGCAAATCATTCAAGAAGTTAAGACTCCGTGAAGAAGAATCAGGATTGGAGGAAAGCTCATCAACAACCTGTGTTATGCAGATGACACAAGCTTGCTTGCTGAAAGGGCAGAGGACTTGAAGTGCTTGCTGCAGAAGATCAAAGACTACAGTGTTCGACATGGATTATACCTCAACATCAAGAAAACAAAAATCTTCTCCACTAGGCTGATAGGCAACATCATGACAAGATTGAAGCTGTCAATACCTTTGTCGTCCTTCGATCCATAATCATCATCCTTGGCAACACCAGTCAAGAGATCCAAAGGCATATTGTGTTGGCAAGGTCTGCTGCCAGGACCTCTCCTAAGTACCGAGGAGCAATGATGCCTGTTTGAAGACTAACGTGCATCATCTTTTTTATCATTTGCTATGCTTCTGAGAGCGGGACAGTGAATAAGGATGACAGAAGAAAAAACTGCCTTTGAGCTGCAGTGTTGCTGAAGAGTACTGAATATCCAATAGATTGCTAAAAGTACGACCAGATATGTCCTGAACAAAGTGCTGACGAGCAAGGATGTCAGTCTAGAAACTAAGGCACACCTGATCCAGGCCATGGTCTTCACAATTATTTGCCATGCATCAGAGAGCTAGACAATAACCAGAAGGCAGATGAATTGATGCCTTTGAGTTGTGGTGCTGGAGAAGAGTCTTGAATATACCATGAACTGCCAAGAAAACTTACAGCTCTCTCCTAGACAGGGTGAAACCAAGATGCTCTCTGGAGGCAAGGATTTTGAGACTCTGTCTCATGTACTTTGGGCATGTAGTCAGAGTCAGGAGGAACCATCTTTGGAGAAAGATCATGCTTGGTAGGGTCAAGGGACAGCGCAGGACAGAAAGGCCCAGGATGAGATGGATTGAAACAATAACTGAGGTGATAACAGTGGGTGTGTGGATAGAGCATGGTTCAGAGCTATTGTGCACAGAGCCACTATGGGTCATAGTCGACTCGACAGCACATAATCACAACAAACAGTCCCACCACCATGAAGTCAACAAAATGTCTAGAACTTTCTGGTCAGTTCCCTCAAGATCTCATCACGGTTCCAAGTTCATAAAAGGATGTTGGATTCAAGAGTTGCTGCCACTTCTCCAGGCTGTCCCTGGCAAAGCCACATTGACTGACCTTCCCTGGTGGGGCGGGGGGTAGGGTCCCAGGGCCTTACCCCAGGATGCTCAGGGATGGGTGGGCAGCACTTTCTGGGCACCAGGCTTCCAGCAGGGCCCGGGTCTCAGGCCTCAGTGCCAGGCTCAGCTTGCTCATGACGTGAGTGGGTGAATGGACACTGCTTGGGCCTGGGCACCTGTCCCTGAGCTAGCCCGCCTGCGGTGCCCACCCCCAGCACCCAGCCCACGAGGCGCCTCACTTCCACACACACGGCGGTGCTGCAGACTCGACAGCTCAAGACGTTCGAGTTCATGGCCCTGAGCACCAGCTCTGCCAGTCGCTGCAGGAAAGGGCCACGCAGGTTCCTGGAGCACAACCTGTGGAGGGGCAGGCGTCAGTGCCACCTGGCCTCTACTGCCCTTGCTACTCTTGGTTCTACTCTCCTGCCACAACCCCTCATCTCCCCTGCAACTCCTGCACCACTTGTCCTCCCATGCTCCCTCATTCCTCATGCCCCTGCAACCTCTCTCTCCTTCCTTCAGGCTCCCCAACCTTCCCTTGTCCCTTCATCACCCCCTGCAATCCCTCACACCCTTTTGTGCATCCTGTACCCCCTCCACCCCCACGTGTTCTTGTCCCCCCAAACCTCTCATCCTCCCTGCACCACCCCACCCCCTGCCTCTTGTCTTCCCTCCTCCCCGCGCCCCCCTAAACCCCGCACACCTTGCCCACCTCATCTCTCTGGTCCCCTTGCCTCCTCCACCCATGCACCCCCTCACGCCCTTCCCTTGGCCAACATATCTGCCTCTTGCTCCCCTCTCTCCCTCTCTGGGGATTCAGCCAGGCTGTTACTGAAGCAGATACTTTCCACCTCCCTTTCATATAAAGGAGGAGTCCTGGTGAGGTGTTCAGCTGCTAACTGAAAGGTCAACAGTTTGAATCCGCCAGCTGCTCCCCAGGTGAACAACAGTCATGGTCCACCAGCATTTGCAGCTTCAGAAACCCCACAGAGGCTCTGAACAGACCAGACTCAGCTGCAGTGGGTTAGGGTCTGGGGTTTCGTACAAGGAAGGTAGTATAGTGGTTAAAGTGTTCTGCTGCCAACCAAGGGGCTAATGGTTTGAGTCTTCCCTTGGGAGCGAGATGAGTCTGTCTGTTCTCTGAAGTCTGGGAGCTCCATGGACTAAGCCCTACCCTGTCCTACAGGGCCTCAGGGTGCCAGGTTCCACCCACAGTGTCAGGTTTGTTTTCAATCTTTGGTTCTTAGGACACTGAGCAGGGCTGCTTACAAGTGACCCAGGAGATTAAACAAATAATCTAAGGGCCGCCATCAAGCTGGCTCCAGCTCTGGTGTCCCACGTGTGTTAGGGCAGAGCTGTGCTTCTCCAAGACGCATTGCGTCTTGGGTGTTGAGGACAAAACAGCGGCTTTTGTTGTTGTTGTTGTTGTTAAGAACACACAGAAGTAAACACGCACCCGTTCAAGTTTCTATGTGCACAGTTCAGGGACAAAGATCGTGTTCTCCAAGGGATGGCGTTCCCACCTTTTCTGAGCTGTCTGCTCCCCGACGACCCTAGCTGAACTTTCTGGTGGCTGTGACAGTCTGGTCAACTCATTGCCGGCAAGGCGACACCTCCTCCCATCTGACCCTCCAGCGGGTTTCAGAGGCTGTAAATCTCACAGGAGACTGCTCATCTTTCTCCCGGGGAGTAGGTTTTGAACCGCTTGCCTTTGGATTGGCAGCACAGCTCTCTGCTACTAGGCCACCAGAGTTCCCGACTGCTTCATATGCACGTGAAACTTGGACAATAAGATCAAGACTGAAGGAAAGCAGATGCCTTGTACTGGACAATATTGAAATAACATGGACTAAACCAGCAAACCATAAATTTCTCTTGAAGGAAGTATTCCTTAGAAGAATGGTGAGACTTCATCTCCTGTGCTGGTGAATGTTATCAGATGGGACTAATCCCCGGAGAAAGCTGTCAGGCTTGGTGAAGAGTCAGCAAAGGAGAGGAAGCCGGTCAGTGAGCTGGACTGACAGAGTGACGGCCACAGTGGTCTGTCCTCAGCGCACTGTGACCACGTGGAAGGGTCAGCTGGGGTTTCATTCCTTTGTACATGTGGTCACTATGAGTAATGGAGCCAGCACCATGGCATCCAAGGACAGCCAGGGGGCGCTGCAAGTGTTTACATTCTCGGCCGCTAACAGGAGGGTGGAGAGTCAAGTGCACAGGGGATGTTCCCCAAATCAGCCCTGCAAACCCCAGGGAACACAGCTCTGCTCCGATACACACGGAATGCGTGTCATTTTAGTGGGTTGTCTCCAGGGCACTGCCGTCCCGGAGCCTGGAGTGAGGGGCAGCTGCTTGGGTTCACCCATGACCTGGCCTGTGCCCTTCCCAGAGTCCCCAACAAACGCAGGCACCGGTGGGCCAGCACCCACCCACCTGGTGAACAAGCCCACACCCTTCAGGAAGGTGGCCCCGTCCTCCAGAAGCACCCACACGCCCTGCTCCTCCAGGCCCCGCTCCAGGCCCTGGCTCCTGACTCTCTTGAGCACAAGTTGCATGGATTTGATGGTGACCCTGGAAGCAGGTGGGCAGAGGGTATGCCGGTCAGGGCCTGGGCCACACTCGGGCTCGAGGGCCGGCAGGAGCTGCTCACTGCTGCGGCTGCTGCCACGCTTGGGGCCTCAGTTCTCTGGTCTGTGAAATGGGCTCACTGGGCCTCCGAGTTTACTCTGGGGGGTGAGGTGGGCATTCCCAGGAAAGGGCTCTCTCCACAAAGCCCAGAACAGAAGCTCAAGTTCCAGGACGTCCTCCCCACTGGCGGGGCCCTCGGCCGAGACGGCCATGGAGTCCGGTGGCTTCTGAAGCCGCCCAAGTGCACGTCCAGCTGGGAAGTCCCCTCCCCCCTGCCCTCAGGGGCACCTCTGCAGGTTCATATCCTGGGGCAGGGTGTCCGAGTGCACCAGTCGCCATGTCTTGAGGACGGGGGCCCCATCCTCGGGCCAGTGGCTGGTACTAAGCTGCAGGAGGAGGGTGCAGATGAGGTCGGGGAGGTGGTCATCCACGTCCACCTTGTCTAGCAGGAGGTGGGTGACGCACAGGATCTGCAGGGCACAGACCACAGGCGTTGGTGCTGGAGTACTGCCTCCCCGAGGAGCCCCTGGCCATCCCCAGGACTCACCATCAGAGGGTCCACCGTGGCCAGCCGCCAGACATCGGCCTTGGAGGTGGGGTTCGCCCGGGGGCTGAACCGAGCCTGGAGCCGGCCCATCAGGCTGTGGAGCATGGTCCTGGCGAAGGGCGCGTTCTCCGCCACGGCCAGCCACACCTCTGTCAGGTGGCTGACAAGGACGAGGAGAGGCGAGTGGGCTTCCAGAGCGGGGCCGAAGCCCAGGGTCTCGGGGAGGTGGGAACTGCCTCAGGTTCCATGATTGCTCTCTGAACCCTGGCCTGACCTGCAGCCTGACCCCCTCCCAGTTCTCAGGACACCTGGAGTGGGGGTGAGGGGGCTGTGGGAAGACCAGCCCCACTCACAGGGGGCCCTGGAGTGTCCTCAGCAGGTCTTGTCGCTGAGGCCTGTGGACACTCTCAATAACCATCTCCACACAGTAAGGCCCGGGCTCAGTGTCCTGTCTCATTCAGGGCCCCCACAAGTCTTTGAAGGAGACACTTTCACCTCTGTGACTCCATATTCTACAGAAAAGGAAGCTGAAGTTTGCAGAAGCGGGATAACTAGAATGCTACAATTAGCAGTGGCCTCGCTGACAGGCTGGTGAGTCAAACCCACCCAGTGATTCCGAGGAAGAAATGCCTGGCAACCTGCTTGCACAGGGATCATGTCCAGGAAAGCCTACAGAGCAAATCCACTCCGTACACACACGGTTGCTCGGAGTCGGCTGCTGGTGGCCTAGTGATAAGAAGCTGTCCTGCCATCCCCAAGGCACATGGTTCAAATCCACCAGCTTCTCTGCAGAAGGAAGATGGGAAGCCTCCTCCCATGTGATTTACCGCCTCTGAAAACCCACTGAAGGGTCAGCTTTAGGTCACTTCTGACCTGACAGCACCCAACAACAACAAACAAAAAGACTGGCAGTTTGAGTCCACCCAAGATGCCTAGTAAGAAAGACCTGAAAAATCTACTAAAAAAAAACACCCAAAAACCGGCCACTGAAAATGCACCTGAGCACAGACTACCAGGAGTAGAAACAGACTCAGTGGTAACTGGCTTGTTGTCATGGTGGTTAAGTGCCATCGAGTTAAGAACAACTCATCATGACCCTACGAATGACAGATGGGAACTCTGTCCTTTGCGGCACCGTCTTAAGCATCCTCGACACATCTGAGTCCATGACCACGAACACATTATCAACCTATCTTGTTGAGGGGTTTCCTCTCTTTTGCTGATTCTATAGCCTTTCAAGGAATGGCTTCTCCAAAAAAACAAGCCCAATATATGTGAAATAAAGCTTCACCATCTTTGCCGCCAACGAGCACTGTGGTTGCACTTTTCCAGAGATCTAGCTACTCGTTCTTTTAGCAGCCCGTGAAATATTCAGCGTTCTTCTCACAACCCAAACGCATCAGTTCTTCTCCCATCATTCTTATTCACTGTACAGCTCTTAGATGCAGCGGGGGGTGATTAGAAAAGACTATGGCTTGAATCAGGTGCACCTTAGACTTCAAACCGACTTCACTGCTCTTCAGGACATTGGAGAGGTCCCTACAGAAGACTTTCCCACGTCTCCTGATCTCCTGACTGCTGGTACCACGGGTGTTTGCTGTGGATCCAAGCAAGATGAAATTGCTGCCAATTTCAATCTTTTCTCCATCTATTATGATGTTGCTTATTGCCCAGAGGCAAGCTCATCTGGCCTGTCATGCCCAGATCCAGCACCAGAGGGCACCCAGGAGTTCTGTCTTGAGAGGTGTGCACTGTGGACCCTGACCCAGATGGAAACAGGAGAATGAGAGAGGCAGACAAAAATAAGAGTCTGGAGACCCTGCGGAACAGAGGAGACACACGCCTAGGATTTCTAAAGCTGTGATTTCTCCGGCAGCAGACTGCCCGTCTTACTTCCTCTGAGTGACTGACAGAGCTTTTGGTCAGTGGCCAAGCATTTTAGCCATTGCACCAGGGATCCCCGTCTCTGTGCTGAGGTTGTACAAATCAGGACTCTTTATGGTTCAGCAGAGGTGGGTGTCCCCATGCCAGGAGGAGACACCACAGAAGGGCGGTGGGCCTGCCTCAGGACTGGACAAGGCGTTATTCAAGGCTCCCATCTTTTTAGGGAGCTTTTTAAGGAGCTCTGTTGGCTTAGTGACAAAGGAATTGTGCTGCCAAACCAAAGGCATGTGGTTCGAATCTTCCAGCTTCTCCATGGGAGAAGTATGGGCAATCTCCTGCCATGCAAGATACTGCCTCCAAAAATGTGCTGGAGGGTCGACTATGGGTTGGTTCTGACTCATTGGTACACAGCAACAGTGGGCCCAGTGATATCCCAGTGGGGCCAGTCCAGCCTGGCTCAGTCACCGTGACCGTGACCGCTGTCACCCCACCCGTCCTCTTGTGCTCTAACATATAGACTCCTTAGTAACGTCCCTTACTAACTTAATAGTTGCAAACTGCTTGAATGTATTTCTTAGATTGCATCTGAAAAGCTGAACAATGAATAAGGACGATAGAAGAAGAACAGGTGCCTTTGAGCTGTGGAGCTGAAGAAGAGTGCTGACTGGACTACCAAGAGAACAAATACGTCTCTGAAAAGCAAGTGCTCCTTAGACAACGGTGCTCTGGAGGGGCAAAGATGGTGAAGCTTCGCCTCATAAACTTTGACAAGTTGTGAGGAGAGGCCAGTCCTTGGAAAAAGACACCAGGCTTGTTAAGGAGGAGGGCTACCGAAAGAGAGGAAGACCCTCACCAAGACAGACTGACACGGGACTCACGTGTGTCGGAGATGAGGAGCCACAGTACAGGGAGGTGTACACGGACCGCTGTCCACGAGGGGTGTGGCCAGCTCCACGGAGCCCAGCCACATTTCCTAGATTATATATCACTTTCCAAAAACCAAAAAGTGGAAAAATTTGTAAAATCTTTCTCCATTGAATTTTACCATCTTTGATTGGGACATTATTAATAATTGCATGACACCTTCTTTCTCCCTCTTTCTTTGCCTCTAATTATTGCTTTGTTCTCAAGAAAGTTATTTGAGGCAAGTTCACAAATATGAATTATTAGGATATTGTAGTCCAAACTCCAGAAAAGTTTCCAAAACCAAGCTGAACAACTTGACTCACAGTCATTGAGTCAGGATTGACTCAGAGTTGGGCCTCCAGTGGGTTCTCAGAGGAAGTAAATTGCACAGGAGGAGATTGCCCGTCTTTCTCCCTTAAAGCAGCTACTCGATTCAAACCACCAGCCTTTGGGTTGGCAGCACTACTCCTTACCCATTAAGCCACGAGAGATCAGTGACTGTAAAAACTATCAGCACTAAGGGAAACAGCGTGTATGTTCGTGGCCCATGCAGACAAAACATGTGACTTGAAACTTGACTGTGACTGCGTCATAACGACAAGTGTGATCTCAGTGCATGTGAAAGTTCAGAGCAAATTAGTAAAGTTTTCACTTTGGAGCTATATTGCTAAGCATCTGAGAGCGGGATGGTGAATAAGGCTGACAGAAGACTTGACGCCTCTGAGCTGTGGTGTTGGAGAAGAGCACTGGACATCCCATGGACAGCAGAACAGACAGATGCTAATCTTGGAGAGGGTGCAGCCGGAGTGCTCTTTGGAGGCAAGGATAATGAGGTTTCACCTCTATACTTTGGAAATGTTGTTATTCCTTGGAGAGGGACATGACGCTGGGAAGGGTGGAGTGTCGGCAAAGGAGAGGAAGACCCTCAACCAGATGGGTTGACACGGTGACTGCTGCAATGGGCTCTGGTGTGTCAGGAAGTGTGAGGATGGCACAGGACAGGACAGGGTTCAGATCTTTTGTTCACAGGATCACTATGAGTTGTACACAGCTCAACGGCACCTAGCAATAACAACCACAGTAACAGCATAACAGGTGTTGTACAGGTCAGTCAGCTGGGCTCACCACACTACTTTTGTTGTGATAACTGCAGGGATGTTTTTCTTTTAGAAAATAACCAACATCTGTGGAAACACCACACAGATTTCATCGACAGTGATGTGGATGTCATCCCCAATGGCAGCGTCACCTCGCACAGTGTGGCGAGCACCTGCACGGCTCCCTCGGGACACCCCAGGCATGAGCTCCCCTGGAGGCTGTGACCCCAGCCCCTGGCACCCACCTCTCCATGGGCAGCGGCTGCCGCAGGAGCGATGTGAGGACAGTGTCCTGGTGGTAATGGGCCAGCAGCAGGATGCCTTCGATGAGGAGATGCCGCACCTCCAGGTCGTCCACCACGGGCAGCTGGGTCAAGATGGCACCCAGGATCTCTGCTACCTGGTGGGAGGGCATCATTGGCCTGCTGCCCCCACCCCAAGGGCTCAGCCTGGGTGGACGAAGGGGAGGGTAAGCCCTGTAGCCTCTTAAGCACTCTTCAGTCTCCTCCAGGCACTAAGTCTAGAAGTTTCCTGTGTGGGCCCATCCTCCACCCACTGAGCTACCTTCAAGTTTACTCTCATGAACTTGAACCCGACTCCTTTTCTGTTTCAACAAAAAGGACTTGGGCCAGGGGTTCTCCCCACGGGCAGGAGGGACCCCCACAATCCCAGCCTGGGGCCTGGCCCTCCCTGAGCACCAGGCAGCCCCTGCCCTGCACACCCCACCCTGGCTCGGCCACCTTGTCCTCCAGTTCCTTGACCCAGGTTTGAAGGAAGACGCCTATCCAGCTGACAGACGCCTTGTCATGCTGCAGGTCCATGGCCCCCATGTTCTCGCAGAGCTTCCGAATGAGGGAGACCACCTCGTCGCAGGTAAACTCCGTGCACACCACCTAGCTCAGGGCAGTCCTTGGGGTCAGAGACCAAGGCCACAGCTGCCTCCATGGCCCAGCCTCTCCCCCCAGGGCCAGCCATTCAGCCCCAATCTCATAGAACCCAGCCTATCCATGCCATCTATCCCAACCCCTACCCTCACTCTCATCCACCTAAACCATCCTCTCCCTCACTCCACCCTCTCCCTGTCAGACCCGCCCACAGCCCTCCCCACCCCACCCTCTCCCTGTCAGACCTGCCCACAGCCCTCCCCCACCCCACCCTCTCCCTGTCAGACCCGCCCACAGCCCTCCCCCTCCCCACCCTCTCCCCTGTGGCTGCCCGCCCATCCCTTGTTTGTAGGTGCCTTTGAATTCACTACAACTCAACTCCTGGTGACCTTATGGACATCAGATCAGAACAATATATCATGTCTTGTTGTGGTTGTGTGCTGTTGAGCCAGAACTGACCCCTAGCTGACCCTCCATATATTCAGAGGCAGTAACGTGGCCATCTTTCTCCCAAGAAGCAGCTGGTAGATTTGAACCACATGTCTCTGGGATTGCATTACATCTTCTGAGTAGTAGGCCACCAGAGCTCTCTCATCTCTCACTCAACCACATTACAGTCACCCCCCACCTCATCATCACCCACCCAAACCGGCCCGCCTGCAGCCCCATTGCAGACCGTTCCACAGCACGCTCTGGGGCCCCACCCCATATTCTCCCACCTGAACCAGCCTACCTCTCTCCCATCCCAACTTCTCCCATTTCATTCCAGTGCCCCCCCCCCCCCACCCCGCCTCACCTTCCCCACGCTCAGATCATCCCTCTGGGGCCCCAGTCCAACTTCGGTGTCAGCCCAGGACATCATCCCTCCACTGCTGTCATCCTGGGACCCTCAGCCAGGTGGACCTAGGCCTCTCACGGGGCCCAAAGTCTCCGGCTGCTCCCACTGCCTTTCCCCCACCTCTCCAACCCCTACAGGAAGCTTCAGCTTCCACTGCCTCCTCTGTCTCCAATCTAGGGGCCGGTCCTGCTCTCCGCTAGCCCCCTGATCTCTGAGGCCACGTGGCCTTACCCGAAGGCCTGGCCCTCAGTCTGGGCCTCTCCGGGCACATTCAGAACTACAGCCCTTCAGGGCTCCCTGTGCCATTCCCTGGGGGAGCTCTCATGGCTTAGTGGTGAGGAGATGCACTGCTGTCCCCAATGTATGGGGTTTGAATCCACTGTGTGTAGCTGGGTGCAGATGGCAGAGACTGTGCCCTGCAAGGCAGTGTGGGTCCCTCAGCCAGGCTGAGGGCGCGCCCCTCCCTGCAGGTGCCAGGAGACGTGTCAGCAGCCCACCCCACCTGCAGAGCCCCACCTTGGCGATCCTGGTGGATGCGCCGAACACCTTCTCCTCGCAGCCGCTGAGATCCTCCTTACACCTGAGCAGCTCCTTCTCCTTGGCCACGTCCCACAGGGAGCAGGTCTGGCTGGCTAGTGGGGCGGGAGGGCAGACATGGGTCTCCGGGGTGCCCGGCTGCTGGGGGATCTCTCCTGCCTTCACACTAACTCTTCTGGCTGCCCCTGGGAGGGACTGTTCCCTGGCCCCACGCCCTGCTCAGACACCCCTCCTGCAGCTCCCCCCTAAACAACTTACTAGACACCCTGGTCTCTGGGTGCTGACCTCACCCTGAGGCCCCCCGAGGGCCACGTTGGCCCTCTAGATCCCTGGGTGAGTCTCTTCATAGTCACCCTTGCTGTCCTGCACAGAGGCCACACCCTCTCCTGCTGATTGGCCCACCGACTCTCCACCCACCCAGCCCAGGGAGGATGGTCCCAAGACCCCTCTGTACCATGAAGGTCCAGCAGCCTGGACAGGACATCAATGGAGGCTATTCGGGTTCTCAGGTGGGAGTCACAGATGTGCGGAGCGATGAGTCCCACCAGGGTGCCAAACTGCCCCAGCTTCAAGGGGATCTGCGGGCACAGGAGCACTGGCATAGTGTCCCCTCAGCCCACGAAGCCTGGACTGGGGGTAGTGTAACCAGTGAGCCCTGCTCCACACACACCTGCCCGGGAAGAGGAGCACGTCACCATCTCTCTCCCATCCGAGCTTGGAGCCCCACCCCACCCCCGCCGCGTCCACAGATCAATCCTGGGGGTCAGTCAGCTGATTCCAGGAGCCCTGTCCTGCTCGGGACTCAGCCAAGTCACCTGTGGGGCCTGGGTCCTTGAACCTGTGGCTGAGTCCTGACACTCACTAGCTGGTGGCTTTGGTCAGGTGGCCTGGCCTCTCTGTCCCTCTTCTCCTCATCTGTAACTCACAGCTGTACTGGCTCCTCCTCCCTCAGGGCCGTGGTGAGAACCAGGTCTGAGAGGCCAGGTGTGTGCTGTCCACAAGGTCTGCCTCAAAGTAACCTGGACCAGGTGGGCACCGGAAAAGATGCTGGGTCCCAGCCTCAGGACTGGGCCCCTGGGAAGAGGATGTGAAACTCTTGCTGCAGAAGATAAAGGACTCCAGGCTTCGGAATGGATCACACCTCAGCATCAAGAAAACAGAGGTCCTCATTGCAGGCAGGGCCACCAGTCAGCGTTATGATAGATGAAGGATTGAAGCGGCCAATGATTTCATCTTACTTGGATCAACCATCACCACCCTTGGTTCCAGCAGTCAGGAGCTCAGGAGACATATTACACTGGCAAAGTCTGCATTCAGGGACCGCTCCAAATTATCGAGCAGCAATGATGATAGCTTCAGGACCAAGGTGTGCCTGACTCAGGACATGGTCTTCTCAGTCACTGCTACACATCAGAAAGCCAGACAATGAATGAGGATGGCAGAAGGACTGATAGCTTCGGGTCAGAGGCGAGTACTGACTATCCCGCAGAGTGACAAAAGAACAGTGATGTCCTGGAGAAAGTGCAGCCAGAGTGCTCCCTGGAGGCAACATCGGCAACGCTTTGTGGCTTAGGAAATGAAAAGGACATCTTGGAAAAGCACATCGTGCTTGGAATGATGGAGGGTCAGCACAGGAGAAGACCCCCAACAATATGCATTGGCACACTGACTGCAGCAATGGGCTCTAGGGTGTCAGGGATGATGAAGACGGCACAGGATCAAGAGCTCAGGTCGGCTCTTCACAGCGTCAGCTGAGTCGTACTTGACTCAATGGCAGCTAACACCACCACCACCACCAAAGTTCATAACTACCGGAAGCTCAGTATGTGATCTTATTTGGAAATAGGGTCTTCCAGACACAATTAACTAACATGAGGTCACACATGGGGTTGGGGTGGGCCTCTGATAAGAAGAAGCCACTCACAGACAGAGACCCAAAGCGAAGAAGGTCTTGCGGAGATGGAAACAGTTGGAATAAGATTGTCAATCCTTGCCAGCGATACCAGAAGCTGGAAGGGACAGGTAGGGATCATCCCCCAGGGCCTTCAGAAGGCACGCTCCTCTATTGAGTACCCTCCACCTTGACTTTGGACTTTCACCTTCTGGCATTTTCAGCTGCATCACATGGATATGGAGCTGGACAAGGACTAAGAAAGGCCAAGAACACTTGATGGCTTTGAACTGCGCTGTTGCTGAAGAATATGGATTATACGGTGGACGGCCGGAAGAACGAAGAAATCTGTTTAAGAAGAGCAGCCAGAACATTCCGAAGAATTGAGAAACCAGTCCCTGGAGAAAGAGATCGTGCCTGGTCGAGGGTCGGTGAAAAAGGGGAAGGTCCTCCATCAAAACGGAGTGATCCAATGACAGCACCAATGGTGGCGGACGGTGCAGGTCACCAGCCAATGGTCTATCCTATTGTGCATGAGGTTATTGTGAACTGGCATGCACTTGGTGACCTGTGTCTTGCACTGAATTGTGTCCCCCTAAATACATGTATCTAATGATAATCGGGATGGGAGTGTCAGAGACAGTGCGATTGGCACAGGACAGAGCAGAGTTTAAGGGCTGTTGTACATGGGGTCGCTATGAGTTGCAAACGACTCGACTGGCACATAACAACAACAACATTGCAAAACCTATACAACAACAAGATGACATAACATGGAAGCTGTTGTGATGTATAAGCCAAACAGTTGTAAAAGGGTTAAGGGTGGACCCCCACCCTTTAATCTCATTACCCCTCCCATCAGCTGTATGGGGGGCTTCACTGGCATGTGGCTTCTGATATTTTTTATCTTCCTAACGATGAAAGGGGAGGAAAGAAAGCCTAGACTGGGAGGACCTCAATAACATCAAGGAGGAATTCCCAGGAGTCCAGGGTGTCGTTCTAGACTTTGACCTCCATATTAGTAATGACCTTGATGCTGGTGAAGACAAAAAGACTTGTGGATATTTCCAAAGAATGTTGGGGCTTCCCCAAGATCAGGCACCCTGAATTTGGACTTCTGGCCTCCTAAACTGTAAGGGAATACATTCCCATTTGTTAAATCTGTCTGTCATTTCTCTGCTATAGCAGCACCAGTAACCAAGACAACACTTAACAACAGCTTCACGAACTGCGGAGGAGTAGCTGCTTTAAGCCCCCACTGTGTGACTTGTCACAGCAGCCACAGGACACTCACTGTCCACCAGCCGCCTGTGGACCCCATCCTGCATATGACCACCCTGCCCTCCACCCTGTGACACAAACCCTTCCCTGTCCACAATGTCCCCAAGTCAAGAGGAGTCAAAAGCTTGGAGCCAACACCTGTAGGAACAAAAGACAATAAACTCACCCTCCTCATTACCTGCACACAACAATAACCACACCTCAAGGCCAACCCACAGCTGACCTTCATTCAAAGCACAGGGGAGGAGACGTCTCTTGTTTCTCCAGAGGAGCAGCTGGTGGATTTGAACCACCCACCTTTGCATTAGCAGTGGATCTCCTTGCCCACTAGACCACCAGAACCCCCTGATGGACAACAAGCATTATGGTATGTTTTCTAGATTTTCTGATGTGTGTGTCAAACTTCATAGAAGTGGTATTTTTGCAGTGATTTCTCTTCTCATTCTAGGTAAACATCCCCATTAATGTAATCTTCCTGACTGTGGAGCCTTTTCTTTACTATGAGCCCCAGCCCACAAAACCGGGGTTCGTGCGGGGGTCCAGCCAGCCCTCAGGTACAGTCCAATCTCTCCTCCCCACTCCAGGTTAGTGTCCTGTGGACTCTCTGGCCAATTTCAAAGAGATAGCCTCTACTCAAGCGATTCCTTATGGGGAAGACACAGGGACAGTTCTTTGTGGGTGTCCCAGCGGTCAGCTCCAGGGCCGGGTGTGCCCAGACTCACACAGACGCCCGTGCTCTGCACGTAGATCTGCATCATGTGAAGAAAAAGACTCAGGGCTTTCTCCCGCTCCCATTCTTTTTCCGACAAGATCCACTTTTCCAGGAGCTGTAGGGAAGAGTCCAGAACACAGGAGGAGGGACAGGGCATTAAAACACCAATGCCAGCCCTTTCCCGGCCAGCAACTGCCCCTGTGCAGTCTCCCTCTTCAAAGCCTGACTCAAAGCCTCTCAAAGAGGCTGTGAACAGAGAGAACAAAGCACAGTTTCATTCCCTTCAGAGGCTGATTCGATGCTTCTTTGTGCTTCTAGACACGTCTGGTTGCTTCCAGGATCCCATAAAGGAGAGGAGGTTTGGACTAAGAACAAATTGGCCACTCTTCCCCAAGGCACAGGTAGTTAAGTCTTGAACAACATGGTTTGAACTTTGAGGCGCACAGACACACACACACACACACACACACACACACACACACACACACACATTGTTGTTAAGTGCCATCAAGTTGAGCACAACTCATATCAACCCTATGAATAAAAGATCTGAACCCTCTTCTGTAACTATCATTGTTTCTCTAAGTTCATAGTTTCCAGAAGAATGTTGTTTAGGAAGTAGACACTACTCCTGCTTCCAAGACTGTCTTAATCTGAGAACTCCACCAAACATTGTCCACCTTGGGTAACCATTATGGTATTTGACACACAAGTAGCATAATGTTTAGCATTACAGCAACTTCAAGTTACCTCAGTACAGCAAATTGACAGACCAGTGCTATACCACTTAGAAGAATATTAGTCCCAAACAAAATTAACACCACAGGCCTGAGGGGACAAGCAACTTTTAAATATCAAGGCCCTCCATCAGGTCCTATTAACTCTAAACAAGAGGCTTCCAGCCCACAGCTCATTGTTAGCTAAATTCAGCAAAATCCAATCAGCTCACACACAATTGTGAACAAAATAAAAACCAACCAAATGGTCCTTACCTGACACTCAACCAAATCAAGAGAACCCACCTTCCAGAATCTAACTTCTTCACACATCAGCCTTCAAACTGGAGATCTATGCCAAGAATTTAATGTGGTAGCAATTCAGACAGTGTGGTATGGGTGTGAAGACAGACAAATACATCAATGGGACAGAATCACAGTTCAGAAACAGGCTACTACATACATAGTCAATCGCTTTCCAAATGTACACAAAGCATACTGGCGATTCAATGGAGAAAATGTAGTGGAAATGTAATGTCTGATTTAGAGTTGGTCGGGGACAATCGGTTCTCCTAGTGAAAAATGAACATCTATCCAAAACTCTCACTATATAAAAAAATTGACACACCATATGCCATAGACTCAACTGTATAACTAGGAACTCCAAAACTCACACAAGAATCATCTTTATGATTTGGGCTGAGCAGTGATTTCTGACATAGGACACTAAAACAGGATCTGTAATTTTTGTTTGGTTCTGTTTGGGTTTTTTAAAGATAAGTTAGATTTCATCAAACTTAGAAACTCCCCAATGATCGCACAAGATAGTAAATACAATCAATGTCACTGATTGTATGCTTACAAATATCTAACAGGGCAAATTTTGATTATCTTTTTATACACACACAGCCCACTGCTGCGGACTCTCCTCTGAGTTACCGTGACCGTCCATCAGATTTCAGAGGGTGGAAGTCTTTATGGAAAGAGACTTTGCATATGTGTATATAATGCAAAACTTCCGTTCTTCAAAAACAACTGATAAATTAATGAAGAGACCAACCACAAACTGGGAAAACATATTTGCAAATCTTACATCTGATAAAGGGATTGTCTCCAGAAATCTCAAGCCTCTGAAACTCAATAACAGGCAAGCAGCAACATAGTTTTCAAAAAGCAACCTGGAGGATGCCTTTCAAGAATGCAAATGTCCTCTGTGGTCATCCACTTTGTATCATATTTAATGAGTTCTTTGTTTTTCTATCTCAGTCACAAAAAGACAAATACTGCATAATGCCACTGTCACAGAATAGGACTGATATGAGGGCTGAAGGGAAATGAAAAAAGTAAAAAGAGGGGATAAATAATGTACACAGCATTGCAACAGACAAAGGAAAGAACTGACTAAAAGGAACATATGATTAGGTATTATTGGCATGACAAGAGTCCAGAATAAGAGCTGCATAGTAAAGTGGTCCGGGGGGAGGCAGGGACCTGTATAACAATGAAAAGGGCTTTTTTTTCCAAAGAAAAAAAGTCAACTTGGTGTGGGGGGTGGGGGTCAAGGAGGAAAATGTGCAACAATGAATGGAAATCAAAGTTCTTTATAAACTTTCATTAAAATCTAATTTAAAAAGTAGTGTGTGTGGTGGAGAGATGAGTGAGGAGGAGGAGGAGAACCGGGTGGAGATGGAGAATGAGTGTGTGATAAAATATTAGGGGACTCAAGTGAAGGACATACAGAAGTGATTTGTATGTTCTACTCTTGAAGCTTTTTCAAAAATATCAAAGTTTTACAAAATAAAGTTCCCATTAAGGGCTCAATGAAATCTTCTAAAAATTGATGTTGAAGTCCACAGGACCTGTGAATGTGACCTTGTTTGTAAGTAGGGTCTTTAAGGATGCTAGCAGGTAAGGGGACGTGAAGTCCTACAGGGATAGGCTGGATTCTAATCTCATAGAATGGTCTCCTGTAAAGGAAGAGACCCAGAGACCCAGACAGAAGAGACTTTGGGAGAGGATCAGTTTCTATTCTTCTGTCCATCCAGTTTGTGGTACTTTGGTGCAGGTAGTCCCATACAGAGACCAAACAAACTATCAGGCACACCCCTTGGTTTCCCAGGGAGAGCTGAGTCATCAGACCAGGTTCAGGGACGGGGGTGGCATAGAAGTCCTGGCGCCGAGTGGGACAACTCACCTGTACCATCTCCTGTAGGCCCTTGGGGTCCATCTGTCGCTGCATGAGGGCCTCCATCAGCTGGGACAAGGTCCTCATGGCATCGGCATGCAGCATCTACAGCCAAGAGAGGAAGAGGCTGGCCAGCTGGACCACAGCCCAGCCCAGACTCAGGGGCGACAGGGTCTGTCGGCTGGCCATCCACCGACTTCCTCAGGGAACTGGGAGCTGACAGGCAGAGCTCGTTTTAGTGCATGTCCCCTGACCAGCAGTCACGGGTACAGTGTTTCTCACAAATTGCAGATTGGGGTTCACCTTGCCTTGAGCAGGTGTATCAACGGCACTTTGCCAGCAGCACATACTCGCCTCAGGTCTGTGTCACCCCAGTGATTTCAGGTGTTTTCCTAATGTTATTGCAGACCTGGGCGTGCTGGTGGCCTAGTGGTTTGGAGTGGTGCTGCCAATCCAAAGTTAAAGCGGTTCGAATCCACCAGTCACTCCACAGAAGAAAGGTGGGCACTTTCCTCTTGTGCGATTTACAGCCTCTGAAAACCCACTACAAGGTCAGCTATGAGTCAATTCCAATTCACTGGACACATAACAATAACATTGCTTAGTCAGCTACCAAAAAATCAAATAAAACTGCAGCACTTAAGAAGAAAATTCTGACTCGTAGAAGCCCTGAGTCTAGACAGCCCTACAGAGTTTCCGAGGCTGTAAATGTTTACAGAAGTAGACGGTCCACTTTCTCTTTCTCCCATGGCGTGACCAGTGGGTTCCACTCGCCAGTTAACAGCCGAACGCCTTACCCACAGCACTACTAACAATATATTCCAGCTCACTGCCATCGGCTCAGTTCTGCTCTGTAGTGTCTGACCCTCTGCCAGGATTCTGAAGCTAAATCATAAGGGGAAGGAACTGGCTATCTATTCCTCAAGAAGCCACAGGCGGATTCGAACTGCTGGAAACAAGCAACCTTTGGATTAGCAGGGCAACAACACCTTCTGGTCTACCCCAGCAGGGCGCTTAATATTCTGCAGTCTATAGTGTTGGCATAACTTTTATATACCCAGAAAAACCCAAACAGTCAAGTATGTTGTGCTAATTGGCTTTGTTGTGGTGATGGTCTGAAACCAAACCTGCAGGGTCTCTGAGGTGTGCCCTGACAAGCTCGCCAATCCTGCATTTCTCATGTGAGGGACAAGACCACCTTTCAGGAAGAACGATTTTACAAAGGAAGAACGTGAACTGGAGGCCAGTCCTCCTGACTCCGTCCAGTGCCAGCACAGTGATGGCTAGTTGTTGTTGTTGTACACTGGCCAGTAAGAACTGACATATAGCTGACCCTCCAGCAGGTTTTCAGAGGCTGTAAATGACACGAGAGGATAGTGTTCATCTTTGTCCCATAAAGCAGCCGGTGGATTTGAACCCTGTGCTTCTGGCTTGGCAGCACAACTCCTAATTGTGTCCTCTTCCACAGTGTAGCTGGGAAATAGTTATCTAGCCAGGCACTACGTTTCCCAGAACCCTCGGCATCTGAGGACCACGTGGCCTTGTCCTGGCCAATGGAAAGAAGGTAAATGGTTCCTACACTCTCTGGAGCCTTCATAGGGCCACTCTGAGCAGACTGGGTGCCACCTAGCACCACCAGCACAGCATCTTCGGGCTGTGTCTTCCCCCAGCTCTGGGTTGGACACCAGCACCAGCCGTGACGAGAGTGAAACCTCTGCTGCCGAGGGAAGGCAGCTCTACCTCTATCCACACTGTCCACTGGACTGGAGTTGAGAGAAATAATTGCATTCTGTTAACCCACTGAGATTTCAGGGTTAGCTTGTTATAGCAGGCAGGCACCCTTGTTGATGTGAGGGGTCACCGAATCAATTGTAACTCATGCTGGGCCCACCAGACAGGGTAAAACTGCCCCTGATGGTTTCTTGGGCTGTGATCTCTATCTACGGAAGCAGATGATCAGTGTTTCTCTCCCGGGGAGCCACCAACCTTCCACTTACCAGGCAAGTGCTTAGACCCTGCACCACCAGGACCCATCAAGAAGTACTATGTTGTTGCTGGGGGCAGTTGAGTTGATTCTGCTTCACAGCAACTTCATGTGATATTTAGAAACGTCCCCTGAGGTCTCTGCGGCTGGGCTGTGTGGGAACAGATCTCTGCACACGGAGCTGCTGGTGGCTTTGAACCACTGACTGTGACCCTGTGAGGATGAGCCCTCAGCCCTTGTGACTATAGGGCTCCTGGTACGACCTTACATTTATACCACATGTTTCACTGTTTCCAACCCCTGATGGTTCAGAAAGACGGATTCTCAGTGTGGTCTGTCTGTGCCCTCCCAGGTCACAACCCTGAACGTGGGACGGCCTGCGGGGACTTACCACGATGGAATCATCGTCCTGTCTGGGGGGTGTCAGGGAAATGACGGCATGCACACCGATGCCCATCAGCTCGTTGGTTTCTTCCACGGAGTAGAGCGGCTTCAGTTTGCTGGGGAGGAAGGCGGTGATGAAGGCTGCCCAGTGGAGACCCAAGTCCCTAATGTCCAACTATCCAGTTCGGGCATGGAGGCAGGTCACACGGGGCAGGGAGGGACCAGTCCCTCTGGCCAGGGATTTGGGATGTCTGCATACTGGGTGGGAAGCTCTGGTTCTGCCCAGTCAACAGCAAGGCCCCTGGCTGTAGATACAAGCTGGTGAGGTCTCCATCCAAGACTGGCGAATATTTCTCTCAGCTCCAGCCTGAAGCCAGTGCCCCTGCTGGCCCGCAGTGAGCCTGCTAATCTCTGCTGGGGAACATTTTCAAACCTGGTCTTATTCTTATTACACAAAACCAGACAAGGCTGGCACCTGGATTCTGCCTCACAGCAACCCTCTGTAGGCCAGAGTAGAACAGCACCACAGGGCCTCAGGGGCTGGGAAGATTTACGGGAGCAGACTGCCTTGCCTTTCTCCTTCAGCATCTCAATGAGCCATCCAGGGCTTACCCCACTGCACCGTCAGGGGCCCCTGTCAATCCGACCCCAACTCATAGAGACCAAGTGACAGAGTAGAATGGCCCCAAAGGGTTTCCTAGGCAGTGTCCCAGAAAGTCCAGCAAGTCAAATCCACCAGCTGCTTTTCCAGAGAGAGATGGGCAGTCGGACAGTCTCCTTCCATAAAGATCAAGAGTGTTGGAAGCCTGGTGGGGGGTGGTCACCACGAGCTGGAATCTACTCGGAGGTGGTGAGTTTGGTTTAAACTCTGCAGAAGATGACCTCCTGGTCTTTCCCAAGGAGAGCATGTTTTGGTTGTTGTAACTAGGTTGTTGTTGTTGTTTACTGTTGAGTTGGAACTAACTCATAGCTGACTCTCCAGTGAGTTTTCAAAGACAGTAAATCACATGGGAGAAGACGGCTCATCTTTCTCCTACAGCGCAGCTGGTGGATTTGAACCACATGTCGTTGGGTTGGCAGCCCAATTCCTTACCATTAACTCATCCTTTATCCTGTAGATCTATTGATACATGTAAGCTGGGCTTAGGAGAAAATAGTTTTGTTGTTGTAACTATAGGGACATTTTTTATAAATATAGTGCATTCTAATGAACTCCTGCATTGAAGATTTTATAGACAGTCATTTGAGGGCCACTGCCTCTCCTCCACATCAACTAGTTCCCACACTGTATCACTTGGTAGCATGAAATTTTATAAAGAATGATTTGTGAGAGGTGGGTGGAAACAGGCTCCCATCTTCTTGCCTGGAGCAGTTCCCCAAGGGGTGAGGTGGGCTTACAGCCCAAGTTGGGGAGGGTCAAGGAGGTGCAGGCTCTGGGAAGCACAGGGGAGGGTCTCACCTTGACCCCTACCCAGGAAGCCCTGGGCAGAGCCAGACTCACCTGAGGTGGATGAGGGCTTCCAAGGCCTTGATCCGCACAGGGGAAGCCAGGCTTTGGGCTGGCTCAGCTTTGATGACTGCCTGCCAGACACAAGCAGAGCATGAGCTGCTGGCCATCCAGAGAGCCTGGCAAGAGATGGGCTCTGGCCGACAGTGAGCATGTCAGTGATGAGATGAGTGTGGGGAGATCCTGGCGTTCTGTAAGGTGCTGTGCATCCCAGTTTCTGGTGCCCTTTCTACAGGCATCTTCAAAAGGCATCAAATTTGATGTCAAGTTTGAGCTTCAACAAAACTCAAAACTACAAAACAACCAGCCTGACTGGTGGAATTGCTTGAGATGATGGCCCTTAATCACCCTTCAGGTCTGGAACTGAACTTGCGCTGTGACTCAAGGTCCAGCTGCGCAGTTAATGTTATTTGCCGGCGAGTCACTTGCAACTCATAGCAACCCTCTGTACAAAAGCTCTGAACCCTGCTCAGTCTTGAGTCAAACTCATTGTCTCTGACACACGGGCCCCCATTACTCTCACTGAGTCAATTTATCTCATCCAGGGTCTTCTTCTCTTGCACTGTCCCTCCACCCTTCCAAGCACGATGTCCCTCTCCAATGACTGGTCCCTCCTAGCAACACGTCTAAAGTATTCCAGATGGAGTTTCCGAATCCTTGCTTCCAAGGAGCAGCCTGGTTTCACCGTGTCCAGGACAGACCTGTTTGTTCTCGTAGCAGTCCATGGTATATTCAATAATCTTCTCCAGCACCACAGCTCAAAGGTATCAATTCTCCTTCTATCATTCCTAGTCATCTTCTAGCTTTCTGATGCATAGCAAGTAATTGTGAAGACCATGGCCCGGATCAGGCACACCTTAGTCTCTAGACTGACATCTTTGCTCTTCAGTACTCTAGAGAGGTCCCTGACAGCAGATTTTCCCAATACAATTAATCTTTTATTTCCTGGCTACTGGTACCAAAGAGTGTTGATTGTGGAGCCAAGCAAACTGAAACTGTTAACAATCTCAGTCTCTTCACCGTCTGTCATGATGCTGCCACCAATCAGCCAGTGGTGAGAATTCTTGTTTTCTTGGTATTGAGCTTCCATTCATATTGAAGGTGTCAGTTCCTGACCTTCTGCAGCAAATGCCTCAGGTCCTCCTCGGGCACACAGTAGACAGATCTATAAGGATGTCACTTTAAAGATTAAGATAATATTTTCAGTCTTTTCCTATGTGTGGTGTTAAGGGTTTATTGTTCAAAATGTCTTCCACAGCCCTTGGCTAACTCTCTCAGGTGGATGGGTGGGACTATGCAAATAGGGCATGTTAGCCTATCCACAGGGAACCGGCTAGTCTCACCACTAAAATGAAAAGGTTCAGCAGCAGAATTTGAGAGTCTCACCACCAGTGAAGAAGCAGCAGAGAATGCAGTGCACGCCCTTTAGGGCCAGTGATTCTTGCACCAGCTAGACCTATAGCAGCAGCAGCTGTGGCCAAAGCAGAGGACCAGGGACCCATATTAAAAATGAGCTGACCTTAGGATGCTACCCCATGGAGGAACCAGGGCTAAGAGGCTTTACCTGAGTTTGTTAAAGGACTAGAGAGAAAGCCATAACTGGCAGGGCTGAGAGATTTTATCACTGACTTAAAGCCATGAGACTTGAGGCTGACGCACTTACATGCACATTTTGGAATCTGTCCTGACTGAGTGATAACCTCTCAACTTCTCTAGTAGGGTTCTGTGGGTCTGTGAGCTACTGCAACAGATTTCTGACCCAGCAGAGTAGTAAGATTGGTGTTGAGATGAATAGAAAGAGGTGCGGGAGCATGGGGGACATACCTATCTTGTGAGAATTGGCTTGATGCTATTGATGTTGTTGACAGGGACAGTTCCCCTTCATGGAGTTGGTAAAAGTCAGACATGGCTGACACCACATGGCCCTTGATACTTCTAAAATATGCATATGAAAGTTGAGCAAGGAATATGAAAGACCCAAGAAGAACTGATGCCTTTGAAATATAGTGTTGGCAAAATATATTGCATATTCCATAGACTGTCAAAAGAATCAACACATCTGTCTGGGATAAGTGCAGCTAGAATGTCCCTTAGAAGCAAAGATGGTGAGATGTCATTTCACCTGCTCCGGGCACACAATCAGGAGGGGCCAGTCTCCAGAGAAGGACATCATGCCTAGAAAAGTAGAGGTTCATCAAAGGAGAGTAAACCCTCAAGGAGATGGATTGACACAGTGATTGCAGAAATAGCCTTAAGCGCAGCAGAGACTGTGAGGATAGGGCAGGACAAGCAGGGTTTCGTTCTACTGTACCTGGGGTTTCTATGAGTCAGATAGATAATTCAATGGCACATAAGAACAACTTACACTGGTCAATAACACCAGGGAGTTACACTTGCCATAAAACAATCAGCCATATTAGACCAAAAGGGCCACATTTTCCCAGGTATGAAACTCAGAGTCAGAAAGGGATAGAAAAGAAGGCTGAATGGAAATAAGAACCACAGGGAGGAAGTGGGAAGGTTGCTGTTACACTGTGAGGATTACAATCCCTTTCACAGAACACAATATGTAGGAATTGTTGAACAAAACAACAACTTGTCTTATAAGCTTCCATTTAAAACACAATAAAAAGATTTTTAAACATGAAAAAAGCAGATAGACTTAGATGCCTTTTGTCTTCACACTAGATACCACTTGCCCTTCCAGTGCCCCAGACCTGATCCTCTCACATTTCACATCCCGTGGGAACTGTGTCCACTCTCAGCCTGGACATTGACAATGATTGTGTGTGGAGGTGGTGGTGGCAGGGGTCTGTGCTCAAGGAGCTCTGTAACCTCAAGAATACTTGTCACCAATGTTTGCCTTTGGAAGGATGATGTTTTCCTAGACATTATCCAACTTCTGTGCAAATATAGTTCTGCGTCTGCCTTCCAGTAGATAGTGCTCTCTATGTTTCCCCCCAACCCCCAGTGGAGAAACACCAGCCCTGGCTGGGTAGACCCTGGGTGCTTTTGAGTACCTGCCACTAAGCAGCCACCTTGATCATTCCAGGACCCCACGAGAGCCAAGGTCTTCAGCCCTGGCTTCTGACCATTCATTTCCTGGCCATGGGACCTCCTATCAGCCATCAAAGCTGCACTCAGATCTCCTCAGTCAGGTCAACACAGACTGGAGAGCCTAGTCCCATCAAGCCTCAGGCTGGGAGAAGCCGTCCACAGGGTTAGTCGACTGCTCACCATTATAATGCCAGTCACAGTGGCCTTCGGGGCAAACTCAAAGTCTTCCAAGGACTCCACACTTTTTATAGCACTTGCGACCTGCATGATACTCCTCATAAAGGCCAGTTTGAGGGAGATGTCCTGTGTTTACCCAGCAAGTGGGAACAGAGAGAAGAGAACTTTGGTGAGTAAGGTCACCCTGAACCAGCCCAGTGTCCCCACTCAGGTCCCTGTCTTTGTGGAGGGCTGACACTCCTCTGCTCCAGGATAGGGAATCAATGTTGCAGGATCTGAGAGACTACAGCCCCAGGGGTCATTCCCCACCCACCGAGCCTTTGTCCAATGCATTGAGTCAGACCAGGGCTGAACAGGGTGCTTTGTTTCTATGGAGGTGGGGGCTGGGCAGGGAATCTTGTTTCCATGGAGATGGTGGCTGGGTGGAGGATCTTGTTTCCATGGAGATGGGAATGGCTGCAACACCATGCCTCCATAGAGACAGAGCCAGGCTGGCTCATACCTTCCCAGGACTGGTGTCAGATGAAGCACCCTCCAGGGACAGAGGCTGGAGAAGGTAGCACACTGTCCCAATGACCAATTCCATTCAGGGTGTCATGCCTCTCCAGGGACAGAGGACGGGAACCTGGAGGCAGCCCCACTAGTTCTCAGAGAGGCCACTCATCATTAGAGATAAAATAACTCCTCCTTTGGGCTGTGTCCTCTCCCTGCCATTCTAACAAGGCAGCCAGACCTCTGTGTCCCTTTGAAGTCAGCCCCAGGTCTTGTGGCTGGTGAGCAGGACCAAGTGTGAGGGAGGGATGTGAGAAATGAGAGGCTTATCCTGTCACTGACCCCATCCAGCACCAGGGAAAGCCCACTGCACTCTGCTTCTCTCTACAACCCCTGAGACCAGCCCAGCTTGGGCAATAAAGGGGCCTCCTGAATGCTGTTTGTCATGTGAGACCCCCTGAGTGTCTGTTGGTGGGATGGGGGAGCTCCGACAGCGACTGTGACAGCTCACAGTTGCTACCCCTGTGCACTGGAGGGCCTGAGGGCCTGGGTACCTGGCAGCTACTGGTGTAGTGGTGGATGATCTTGGTGGTGATGGGATTGTTCACGTGGGTGAGGAGCATCTGGGGGTGGCAGTAGGAGGCCACGAAGCTGTACATGTCCATTAGGGCACTCTTCATGGTCTCCCGCCTCCAAGGGTGGTCCTTCTGTGGAGGAGGAGTCACTGGGAGGGAGCCATGGCACCTCGGCCACACACGAAGGACCCACAGGGTCACAGAGGGGCCTAAAGGTGACCCTGAGGGGACAGCATAAACCCCATTAATCCCAGAAGCAGAAGCGGGCCATAAAAATTCTTAGTTTTAGAAGCAGGCAGTAAAAGCAGAATAAACCCAAAGGCGCCAGGAAGTCTCATAGGGCAAGTCTTAGCAGATTAAAAGTAACCAATTAACCGAAGTTATGTCACTCTGGAAAGCAGTGTACATGACATGGAGAGGGCAGAGGTGGGCAAAATAGCCCGCCAATAAGAAGCCAACCCATGTGACTGATTTCCCTGCCCACCAACCATGTTCCCAATTACCCTGCCCCAGACAGAAGCACCTGTGAAGGCCTTAAAAACAATTGCACGGGGAGACACGGGGCTTTTCCCCTCACCACCTTCCTACTGAGGGAAAGAGTCTTCCTTCACATGTGGAAAATTATTCTGCAGAATAAAATGTTCTTATATTTGCATGCGTGAATATTCCTTTGAGGGGCATTTCATGGGCAGAACACCTCCAGTGCCTGCTGGCTGCCCGAAGCACCCATCCACTCATTCACTCAGCCACTCATTCACTTGGCATGGCTTTGCTGAGCACTGATCAACCCAGGTTCTGGGGGTCAGTGGGGAGCAACAGCAACCTATAGCCTGGCCCCAGTAGCCATAGAGTTAGCCCCCTTTGTGGTGACATCATACATGTCGCAGTGTGACTGTGGTGGTGGGTCTCAGTAGCTGGTTCTTCAGGAATAGCTAGCTCACTGGACCTTTCTTCCAAGGCCCATCTTGGTAGACGTAACAGCCAGCATTGCCATTAGCAGCCTAGGATTTTAACCATGTGCACCACCCAGGGCTGCCCACACAGATGCCAGGACCACCTGTAGCTGGGAGTGTGCTGATACTGGTGTCTGCTCCTCACCTCCATGTGGCAGGCTACTGGGCCAGCCCTCTTACCATGTGTCCTCTAAAGCCACCCACTGGCACTTCTGTTACAGATGCGAGCAGAAACAAGGTCAACTGTAGTCAGGCCCCTTGCACCAAGAGGGCCCCGGAGACTTGAGTGGGCAGGCAGGGGGCTCACCCGCCAAGCACCAATCTGCCAGGACAGCTCCGACTCCTGGATCTTGTCCTCGAACTCCTGGAGCACAGCCAGCACCGTCTTCACCTGGCCCCTGGCACACATGCCAAAGGAGAGGGAGATGCCCTATAGGACAGGTCCAGCAGGGTGAGGCTGGGGGCAGGGGCACCCTCCATCCCTCTCTGATCTGTCTCTTCCTATCTCTCTGTCTCTGTTTATCTTTCTTTCTCTCTCTCTCTTTCCATGTCTCTCTCTTTCCATGTCTCTCTCTCTCCACCCCCTTTCTTCCTCTTTCTCTGATTCTCTCTCCATCCTCTCTCTCTGTCTCTGCCTTTCTCTGTCTTCTGTCTGTCTATCTGTCTTCTTTTTTTATCTCTCTCAGTGTCCATCGACAAGCTTGGAAGCAGGAGTGGCATCCACTTCCACAGTAGCTTGCCTCTGGAAACCCTATGAACCTGGAGAAATGATGCAGTTATACAGGAAGTATCCAGGACTTCTGTTCATAGGGTCGCTATGAGTTGCCCGTGACTCGACGGCACTTAACAACAACACAACTGTCCGTCAATGTCTCTGTTTCCCTCTGTGTGTCCATTTTTATCTCCTTCTGTCTGCCTCTATCTCTGTCTGTCTGTCTCTCTGTCCTCTCTCTTTTTACTTCTCTCTCTGTCCTTCTCTGTCTCTGTTTCCCTCTGCACGTCCATCTTTATCTCCCTCTGTCTGCCTCTATCTTTGTCTGTCTGTCTGTCTCTCTTGCAGGCTCAGGCACAGCCTCCGCCCCGTGGATGCCCCGCACCTCCCGTTCGAAAGTGTTGCTGTAGTCCGTTTTGTAGAGCAACTCCAGCAGCAGCACCTCCACCTTGTCAGCCTCGAGACCCATGGCCAGGGAGCAGCCCAGAGCCCGGTACAGGAAGGCCTGCGGGGCACAAGGAGAGGGGGACTCAGGCCCAGTGCCTGCCCGCAGGGCCACTTCACACGAGCACGCTGCTTGTTCCTCCGGGTTTAAAAGAAGCACATAGGTAGCTTTATTTGCTGTATGTGCTTCAGAGCAAACATTCACATTATTCTTACATGGTCAGACCATGTGTGAGGAACATTTGAATTGTATCTCTGTTGCTGCCATCAAAGGTGACTTGCTGTGGGGACTCTCAGGCACGGTGGGCCATGGGGACTAATGATCTTCATTGACTACACCTTCAGGCCTTTCTTCCGGGACAGTCTTCATCTGGAAGGGTCTTTCTTCCACAGAGCTGCTACCAGGTTTGAACCTCTGACCTTTTCAATTAGGAGCCAATACTTAACCACTGTACCAAAGCAGAACAAATTTACAGTTTCACCAATACCCCAGTCTATGTCCCCAGACACTCCTATGATAGAATACCACAAAGGAGAGGTGGATTTTTCATTTCTTTCATTATTAGTTATTATTAGTGTATTTCTTCCATTATTAGGTATTTCACTTTTTCATATTTTTAGTATACTTTTAAGCTCTTAGAATTTCTTTTCACATTTTCTTTTAGGTAATTTCTCTCCCTTTTTAAAAACATTGGGAAGAAATGTTTGATGTCCCCACCAAAAATGAGCAACAGTAAGTATGTAAGTAAGACTCTATATATCTTAAAGTTAATAAAATAAATACTCTGTTAATAAAATAAATACTCTTACTGTTTTTCACTCACTCATTAATTGCCCTGAGTCAGAACTGACTCATAGCTGACCCTTCAAGGGGTTTTTTCAATTTTTTTAAAATGAATTTATTTATACTCCGTTTTTTTCTCTCCATTCATTCATGACTGAATTTTTCTCCCTGTCCACCCCTCCCCCCCATTCACTCTTCTCTTTGAAAAATAAAAGAAAAATTATTTGATTGTTATACAATCCTTCCCCCCAAGTCCACTCCACTATGCAGCCTTCATTCTGGACTCCTGTCATGATAATAATACCTAATCATATATTGCTTTTAAACAGTTCTCTCACGAGGGGTTTTCAGAGGTTGTAATTTGCACGGGAGGAGATAGCCCATCTTTCTCACGCAGAGCAGCTCATAGATCTGAACCATGCCTTTGGGCTGAAAGCTTACCTTCCTATCCTCAAGACCACTAGCACTCACACTACTGTATTTACAGATGAGAAAATCTAGGCCTAAGGAGGTTATGCAACCAGGAAGTGACAAGACCTAGACTGAAAACCTTGAAGCCATAACCTGGGCCTCTCCATAAATGTCACAGATTAGAAGGCACACCTTTGCAAAAGCCTGTGCTCACTTCCTGTCTCTGCACCCCATTTTGATCATTCTCACAACATTTCACATTTTTACCTTGTGCTCAGGCACACTTTGCAGGCCACAAAACTAAATCCACTGCCACCCAGGCATTTCAGGCTCACGTGACACTCCATCAGGTCTCTGAGGCTGTAAATCTTTCTGGGTGGAGATCTTCCTCTGGGGACAAGGCTTTTAGTGCTAAGAAGCTGTTATGCTATCCCAAAGACACGCAGTTCGGATCCACCAGCTGCTCAACGGGAAAAGGATGGGAACTCTCCTCCTGTGCAATTAACTGCCTCTGAAAGCCCGCTGTAGGGTCAGCTCTGGGTCCATTCCAACTTCACGGCACACACAACGGCAACCTTTCCATCAGCAACCTGATATGTTCTGCGACACAGCGCAAGATTTCTTCCCTGCATCACACCCCACGATTCCATCCTGCATCACACCCCAGGATCCTTCCTACATCACATCACAGGATGCCGTCACTGCATCACACCCCAGGATTCCATCCTGCCCCACAACACAGGGTTCATTCACTGCATCACACCACAGGATTCCTTTACTGCACCACAGCACAGAGTAAACATGACTTTCACGTCCACTGAGATACCAAACATTCCACGCAACCTAGCTTATCATGGGATCTTCACTTTCTTGTGGTGACCTAAAACAAAACCTTCAGTCTTTCTGAGGTCTGCCTGTACAAAATTATTAGCAGGTAATACTGATTCAGGCCAGGCCAGGCTTCAGAGCTGTTGTACATAGGGTCACTATGAGTCACAGTTGACTCAATGACGCGTAACAACAACAGTCATCCACTCACCTGTCTTCCAGGACCTTTGACAGTCACACAGCACCACCCGCTCCACTCCACCTTTCCCAGGGTCCTCTCTTGCCCCGCCCCTGCTCTCTGAGACACACCTTCTCTGGGGAGGGGCTGCTGAAGTCATCCATCTGGTTGTTCAGCTCCTTGCTCAGCCGCAGGCTCCAGTTGGACCTCCGGGTCTTCTTGAGGGAATTTTTCAGAAACTAAGGGTCAGGGAGAGTGCAAAGACTTGAGTGGGTGCAACCAAGGACCCCGGGATATTGCATGAGTTTGACTGGTGGCTTGCACTTTCTTCACAGTCTATGGTACACTCAATTGTACCCCATGCAGACATGCTGAACTCTGCTGACCCTGTGAGCAGGGTGGAGTTCTTTAGACTTTTCAAGGCTGTGACCTTCAGCAGTGGATCACTACACCTATCTTCCCAGGTGTCTCTGGGGAAGGAATGAAAGATCAGCCTTTCAACCACTAGTCAAGCTCTTCACCATCTGTGCCCCCCAGGGACTCCTGGTCTAATATGTATACAGCATTCATATACACCTGTGATCCAGATATGTGGAGGGACCTGTCCTGCAGGTCTGGGGAGGAGTTGGCACTCTTGAGGCCAGAGAGAGGGCTGTGGGTATCTACTGCCTTCCTGAGCACTCATCTCACAGGCTTCCTTCTCCCCAGTTCCCTCCAACAGAAGGAATGTGTACACCTTAGAGGTTCCTAACTTCCAGGTACATAGCAACAACTTTCTTATATCCCAACCTCACCAAATGTCCTTCCATCCTTGCTCCATTGCCCCCATAATCCCAGCTGCAGCAGCCACACTGCCTCCTTACCTGAATGAGTTTGTCTTCCCAGGTCTTCTTATTCCAAGTATACTCAGTGTGTTCTGCACCAAGGAAAGCATCATGGTCGGCTTTCACTGCTTCCCTGCTCTGGGTTGACCTCCTAGTCTGGTATTTGAAGGCATCCCCACCTCACTCCTCATCGTACACAGAATTTCCTTTTCTACCTTCCCTCCTTGCTCAGCCAATCCCAGGACCAATATATAGACTAGTGGGGTCTACCACCTACGTAGGTGTAGAAGGGACGGTGGTCATGGAGAGGATCACCAACACAGAGGGGCTGGTTAGTGTGGGGTGGACAGCAGGCTGACATGGTGGGGATGGTTGGCATGGAGAAGGATGACTTGTGTGCAGATTACGGTTGGCACAGAGGAGATGGTTGGCATGGAGGGAAGGCCTGGCGTGGAGGTATGAGTCAGTGCGGATGTTCAGTGTGGAGGGGAAGTTGACCAGAGTGGAAGTTTGCTCCGGTGCACCCTGGGTGTCTCACCTTTCAGGTACTGGATCAGCAGTGGGATTTCCAGTTTCCACACATCCGTCATGGCGGGAGCAATGCTCTGGCTCAGGGTCCACAGGAGGTTGAGGATGGCAATCCCACGGTCCTCCCCTTTGTAGGGGGATGATATCAGCACCTAGAGGGATACAAAGGGGCAAGTGGGGCCCTGCCCAGGTGCTTCACTCCTTAATTAGGAGGCTGACTGTCCTCACTTTGGAGGGGAGGAGCTGAGCCAGATGGTGCTTTCCAAATGGACTGCTAGGGATTCCCAGGGCAGAGACCCAGCCTCATAGCGGTCACAGAGAGGACAGCAGATGGGCAGTGCTTTGGGCTTCTTCCCATAGGAGCCTTTAGGGGAGCAAGTGTTAACCCCCCTGGACTGGACAAGTGTGTGGACATGTGGTCAAAGACAGAGTCCATGTCAGAGGCAGACCACTAGATTGTCCGAGAGTTGCTTTGGGGTCTTTGCCCAGGGACAAATCGACCCCAGTGCCTTGCTGTCCAGAAACACAGCCTCTGCCACAGCTCCTGAGAAGAGTGACAGAAACCCAGAAAGCCCTGTCAAGTGTCCTGCTCCCTCACTGGATCCTGGTGCTCTCCCCCTTCTGGGGAATCTGAGAAATTAGGAGTTCAAGGGAGAGGCACCATCCGGCATGGTCTTGGTCAGGACGAGGGCACTGCCAACTGTGAGTCACTCACCAGAAGCCGGGCCAGCAGCTTCTGTGGGGCGGGCAGGTCCACTGGAGAAGGAGAAGTGGCCTTCAGAGCATGGCCCAGGAGGTCCATGGGGACTTCACCCTGCAAGGAGCTCCCCAACCACAACCATGGTGCCCGCTCCAATGAGAAACAGCATTTCCAGGGAATTTTCCATAAATGACATCATTATACTTAACACATGCTGTGATGAGTGAGAATGATACTAATCGGTTAGAAGGTTCTGTTTTTGAAACACCATTAAGTGCAGGCAGCAAGCTCTTCAAGACAATGTCCTGTCTCCTGCCATGAGCTTATCTTGGACCAAAAGGGATTGAACATTCCCACCTCACCTCCCCACAAGGATGCAAATGCCGTAGCCCTGGGATGAATGAGCATGAGAAAAAACTATGCCTCCTGAGAAGTGCAAGGGGGCAAGGACACGGTAGAACTCACGTCCTGAGTGGGGGGCTTGCGGGCAATAACTCCAAGGAATGGAGCCTGACCCGCTGGACTGGGGAGCTGCTCACCATGCCTGCTGGAGCTGGTCATGTTTGCCTCCACGTCCTTGTTGCGAAGCTGATGTTCTGCCAGGTTGGTCAGACTGATGCAGATCGCGGTCAGGGCCTCTGTGTAGTCCGTCTCCATGATGTAGCACAGGAGCCTCACCCAGAACTCCTGGGCAGCAGCGGGACAGGACCACAGAATGAGCTGGGAAGGTGCTCCCACGGTCACCTCTACCCACAGTGCCTGTCTACCTCCGGTCTCCCAGCGCTGTCCAGGATCTATCCTGGCCCTGAACTGGCTCCATTGTCAACTCTGGCCGTTGGCAGAGCGTCTAAGTGCCCTCAGCTCTCATGTGGCACGGGACAGCTTCAGCTGGTCTCTGCTGAGTCTGGCAAACCTGCCCAGCTCTCCAGCACTGCTGCCCTAATGTCACCGCCATCCCCATCATATCTAACACAAGGCCCTCCCTCTGACTCCAGATCCTGTCCACCATAGGCTGATGGCCTGTCTGGGATCGCTGGTAACCTTTGAGCTGTGACCTTGGAGCTATGTCTCCTTCACTGCAGGTCCTCTCCCTTGCCTCAGCATCCTCCTCCACCAGGACCCTCTTCAGATGACCACTGAACAGCCTCAGCTGACCCTCCCCACCTCCCTCTTCACTTCCACTCTGAAGACCATAGCATGAGGCCCTTACTCCGACTGACAAGTGCCATCAGTTGACTTATTCCAGCCACTCGGACTAGAATGTTTCAGCTCAGGCCCTCCGCCCCTGGAACCAGCATGATGAGTTGGAAAGAGTGTTTTAAACCGGCTCCACTTTATCAACTGTGAGATCATGACAAAATTCACAAATCCCACTGAGCATTAACTTCCTCATCTAATACACAAGGTAGCACAAGATCCTACTGCACAGAGTCATTGTAATAAGTCCATGAGACTATGTACATGGTACCTACTGGGTTGCAGCTCCTGTCATTCTCACTGTTTGTGCAATTAAACTGAGCTGCCCCCGAACAAGGAACACCTGATCAGTCACCTCGTTTAAAGGACTATTGTTCTTTTCTTGATGCCATCTTTAAAAGTTTTTCCTATTTGATCTCTAGGGTGTATTTTACTAAATCGTGGTGTTGGAGAAGAGTACTGACTATCCCATGGACTGTCAAAAGAACACACAAGTCTGTCTCGGGGGAGGTGCCACGAGGGTGCTCATTGGAGGCAAGGATAGTGAAATCCCACCTCACATCCTGTGGACCTGTTATCAGGAGAGGCCAACAGCTGCAAAACCACGTCAGGCTTGGAAAGATGAACAGTCGACAGAAGAGAGGAAGACCCTCGAAAGATGGAGTAACTGTAACAATGGGCTTGAGCATGGCTGAGATCACGGGGAGGACAAGGCTCTGATCTCTTGTTTAAAACGACATGGTCGACTCAACAGTGCCTAACAACAGTAAGCTGACACAATTTGCTTTCCTATAATCTGTGGGCCCTGAACTCCTTGGAGTCTTATTATCCCCAAATCTTCTCATTGTATGTCCTCATGGCTTTTATTTAGTGTTTGTGCAGTTAAACTGCTAAAATAGTTTATTAAAAAAATTATTATTATTATTATTAATTTTAATGAAAATTTACAGAGCTTTTGGATTTCCATTCATTCATTGTTGCACTTTTCTCCCTGCCCACCCGTCCTTTCTTTCCACCACTCTCACTTTTCTGGGCTGGAGGTGCTTTGAGACGTAAATTCACTTTAGACTTGAAGTCAATGGATAATATACCAAAGTCGATGGTGCCATAGTATCTGAGGATGCAGAGAAGGGCACCGATGGAGGGCCCAGCAACAGAACTTGGACTAACAGGGTGAGCACTCAGGCAACTGAAAGGGGGAAGCATTCCAAGACACCGCAAGCAGTCAGAGCAGGAGAAGCGAAATCAGGACAGCTGGGCGTGCTCGCCTCTTCCAAAGCTGGCACGGTGCCCTGCACTAAAAGGAGGACACTTACGTTACTCATTCCACGGACAGACGAGGTGATGATCTTCACAGTGTCCATGGTGACTTTGTGGACCATCTTCTCCTCTAAGTCCTTCACATAAAAGCTTTCTCGGCAATTTGTCTGCAAAACAGGCGGAACTTTGTGCCCTGGATTTTTTTTTTGTCTGGTGGTGACGCTACAGGTCAAAGTTGTTGTTGTTGAGGCCCATCAAGTCAGAACCGACCCATAGCTGAGCCTCCAGCGGGAAGGAAACTGCCTAACCTTCTCATAGAGCTGCTCAAAGACTTTGAAAGGCAGTCAGTGTTCACTGAGGCAGATGCCTCCTCTTTCTTCTGTGAAGCAGCTGGTGGACCTGAACTGTCAACATTTTGGTTAGATGCCCAATGCTCAGCCTACAAGAAGACTGGGGCGCCCTTATGGAAGACAGACACTGGAGCCCCAGGTGTATGTCGTCCGGGCTTGCTATGACTTTAGTTGTGGCCTCTTCACTCCCCTGGCTCTCACTGCTCAGGTCCCAGGTCTCTGAGAACCATAGATCTAGATCTTCCTGCCCCTGGGACTATGCACACCTTCACGTACCAGCTGGATGTGTGTCTATGTACACAGGTCACGAACACATGTGCACGTCAGCTCAAAGGCAGGTACACCATGTGGCTAACTTTCCTCAGTGTTGGTGGAAGCCACATCCACACTGTTACTGCTGTGTGGTATATATGTTGGGGCCACTCACCAGCTTGTAGGTGGACAGTGTCAGCTGCACAGACACGTACTTCAAACCCCAGCCTTTGATCTTGTCCTGGTAGCCAGAGAGTGCCAGCTGGCCAATGATTTGAAGGATGGCCATTCTCACCTGAGGAGACACGATGGTGTAGGTGCTGGTTCTAGGGGAAAGGGGATGAGCTCCAGGAACCGCAAGCTCAGTACTTAACACCCATTCTGACTTGGAGCAGCTCTAGACAGATAACTGATGTGACCAATACCACCAGGGAAGTACTCAGACCTTGGTATGACCAATACATGCTTACAAGGGCAGAATTCGTCCAAGAATAAAACTCAGAGGGAGGAAGGGAGGGGATGGAAAGATGAATCAGAACAAGAACTGCAGAGAAAATGTAGGGGAAATAAGATATAGGGATTGTAATCAGTGTGCTTGACTGAATAGAATAATCTCTGTAAACTTTCAGTCAAAAAAAAAAAAAAGAAAGGCTTGGTGTTTGGTTGAGGAGACAGAAAGTTCTGCCCTCTTGTGGAGTAGGACTGCACAGAAGGCCAAGAACTGATAGTGGACATGTCCCTTAAAACTCAGCGTCTTCCTAGAGTGACCTCTAAGTGCCCCAGCCTCTTCTCATCTCTGCTCAATTACCTTAGACCTTGGATCAGAGAGGTGATTCTTGACCACCCTGATGGCCAGGCAGATGGTCCTCATACTCACTCTGGGCTCTGAAAGAGAAAACTCGTGGAGAGGTTGGCGGCTTCAGGGCTGGGAGGGAGGTGAGGGCCCACCAGCATCTTCCAGGAAGGAGTCTCACAGAGACCTCAGGAGGTAAGGAGAGCCTTCCAGAGCTCAGCTTTCCTTCTTTTTATACTAATTTTACTACACTGCTTATACTTTTTGGCTCGTACGTGTAGAATGCATAGACTATGAGGCTGAATCTTTAGTTCTTCCCTTTTAAATTTCCTCCCCCTCAGTTTTCTTCCTGCTCCAGTGTCCCCACTGTGCATCAGCTCTGGGGTACATCCCTCAGGATCCCCCAGCCAGGCGTTCACGTCCCTCTGCTCACAGCACTTACCTCCTCCTTCACTCCTGGCCCAGGTGGGATGGTTTTAACGTCTCCCTCACTTCCTTGACCTGGACCTTATATGACATCTTGTGAGGATCAGACAGAACTGCCTTTGCAGGAAGAGTCTCTGCCTAAGATCTCCTTTGCCTCCCTGCAGCTGGAAACCTAGTTCAAGGCCACAGGGAAACTACATACCACAGCCACAAAAGACAGACTTTGGTGCCAAGTTGTCTGGTTCAAAGCCAGGCTCTGCCACTTCTCAACTGTGTAACATTGTAAGAATTGGGCTGAGAGCCGGGCTACTACCCAAAAGATAGTGAGAAAGGACACCATGCTTGGAAAACTAGAGGGTTAGGAGAACAGAGGAAAATCCTCAATAGGACATATTGACAAAGTGACTTTAGCACAACAAAGATTGTAAGGCTGATACAGTAGTGAGCAGAGGTTTTTTCCTTTTTCTATTGTACATAGAGTGGTCTATATGAATTGAAACTGGCCCAATGGCACCTAATACCCAAACATATCTCCAATATGGATTTTTTTCCCTAACTAACTAACTACACACACACACACACACACACACTTGTTGCTGTTATGTGCCATCAAGTTGTCTGTGACTGATAGCTATTGTGTACAATAGCTCTGAACGGTGCCCTATCCTGAGCCAGTCTCACTGACTCTGACACATCTACACTTATTATCTCAGTTATATACATCCAAGGTCTTCCTCTTCTGCGCTGTCCCTCCACCCTTCCAAGCTTGATGCCCTTCTCCAAGAACTGGTCTTTCCTGGCCATGTGTCCAAAGTATGTGAGACAGAGCTTCAAAATCATTGCCTCCGAGGAGAAGCTTGGTTTCACCCTCTCCAAGACAGATCTGTTTTCTTGGCAGTCCATTGTATGTTCAATGCTCTTCTCCAGCACCACAACTCGCAGGCACTGATTTTTCTTCTGTCATCGTTAGTCATTGTTCAGCTTTCTGATGCTTATCAAATAATTGCAAAGACCATGGCCTTCGTCAGGTGCACCTTAGTCTCTGCACTAACATCATTGCTTTTTAACACTTTGGAGAGGCCCCTGACAGCAGACTTGCCCAACGCAATTTGTCTTTTAATTTCCTGACTGCTGGTACCAAGATTGTTGATTGTGGAGCCGAGCAAGCTGTAACTGTTAACAATGCCGAGCTCTTCTCCATCTACATGGTGCTGCCGATTAGCCCACTAGTGAGAATCTTTGTCTTCTTGATGTTGAGCTTCAATCCATATTGAACACCACAATCCTTGACCCTCTGCAGCAAATGCTACAGCTCCCCCTCCATTTCAGCAAACTAGGTTATCTACAAAGTGCAGGCTGTTGATGAGTCTTCCTCCAATCTTGATACCACATTCTTCCTCAAAAAGCCCAGCCTCCAGAATGATCTATTCCTCATACAGAATGAAAGGTTATGGAGACAGGACACATCCCTGACGTAGTCCTTTCCTGATTTTGAACCACACGTGTTTCCTGGTTCTTTTCTGATGACTGATTCCTAGTCCAAGTATAAATTTGCATAAGCACAATCAAGTGTTCTGGGATTAACCATACTTCTCAAGGTTAGCCACAGTTTCTTGTGATCCACACAGTCAAATGCATTTGCATAATCAATGAAACACTGGTACTCTTTGCTTTTGACCAAGATCCATCTGACATTGGCAATAATGTCGCTAGTGTCACAGCCTCTTTTATACCTAGCTTGTATTTCTGGTAGTTCTCTGTTGATCAACTGTTCCAGTATTTTTTTTTTCCTTCAGCAGGATTTTATTTGTGTGTGATATTAGTGATATTGTTTGATAGATTTCCACACTCTGTTGGGTCACCTTTTATTGGAATGGGAATAAATACGGATCTCTTCCAGTCGGTTGGCCAGGTAGTTGTCCTCCAGATTTCTTAGCACAACTTGGTGAGCATGTCCAAGGCACCTTCTGTTTGTTGAAATATATCAATTGGTATTCCATCAATTCCTGGGACTTTGTTTTCTGTCAATTTCTTTAGAGTAGTTGAACTTCCTCCTTCATCACCATTGCCTCTTGATCATATGTTGTTTCCTGAAATTCTTCTGTGTCAGGCTATATTTCTATTTCTATGTCTATGTCTATTTCTAATATAGCTGTTATATATAGTTTATATACATAGTTGTTACATATAGTTGCTGTTATGCACCGTAGAGTCTAAAACCGACCCATAGCTGACCCTCTGGAGGGTTTTCAGAGGTAATTAATCACACAGGAGGAGATTGCCCGTCCTTCTCCCATAGAGTGGCTAGTGACCACAAACCACACGCCTTCAGGATTGCAGTGCAGCTTCTTGCCACTGTGTTCAAACTGTTGTTATTATGTATTTTGAGTCAGAAGGGATTGACTCATAGTTGACCCTCCTGTCAGTTTTTAGAGGCTGTAAGTAGCATGACAGGAAATTGCTCATATTTCCCCCAGAGCAGTTAGTGGATTTGAACCACATGCTTTTGAGCCGGCAGCACAACGCCTTATCACTAGGCCACCAGAGCTCCTGTGTTAACCAATGTGCAACCAGGGCTCCTGTTCAAGTAGTGCCTAGAAAACAGGAGATGATGGACCCCCGACAGGGTGGGCTACTACCCCTGACTCTCTGGTCACTCTTCCCTCACCATACTTACCTTCTGCGCCTACCACAGCCCTGATCATGGTCAAGGTCGCCACACGGCTGGCCTCGTTGTTTATCTCCATTTGGTTGAGGAAGAACTTCATCAGCTCCCTGGGGTAGGAACGGGCTGCGGGAGGAGGCCCATCCCCCTCAAACCCTCTGAACCCAAGCAGGAGGCAGCCCAGGGCCTCCCTCCCAGGAGGGAGCACAGAAAGGCTAGGGACACCCAGGGCACCCAGCAGATCCTAGACAGCGAGCAGGCAGGAGCCCACTGGGCGCCTCACCCAGGGCAACGAAGCAGTGCACAATCTCTATGAGGTTCTGGTTACTGTACTGCTGGCTGGGAGCATCAGAGCACACCTGGGAGAGAAGGGCATTCAGGGAGGAGGGAAGGTCACAGCTGGGCAGGACATGCAGATGTGGGGGTTTCATGAAGCTGAAGGTGTGCAGGCAGGGGGTGCGATTATAGCTGAACAGAGAGGAGAGAGGTGTCGGGGGTGCACTTAGCTGGCACACCTGCAGAAAGGCACATAGGGAAGAGTAGATATGGTCGCAGACAGGGCACACAGGTGTCACGGGTCCCCCTGGGAATGCTGTGCCTGCCTGGCCGCCAGCCTCACCTGGACGTGCAGCTCCATGAAGACCGTGTGCAGCTGCATGTGGGGGATAGGTGTGTGGGTGGTGACCGACACCTCCAGGATCTGCCTCAGGATCTGCAACAGAAAGGTCAGTGCTGGCAACCCC